AAAGTTGCGAGGGCACGCCACTACACAGCGTCTTTGGTCCCCAGGATACATTCTTGATCAGGAAAATATGAGTAAGTTTAAAATTTGTTTTTGTAACTCAGTATTTACAAAGGTATGTTCATAGGATTGGGTTGACCAAAACGAGAAATCATGAAGTATGCACATCAACGAGGTAGGAGTGCATATTTATTAATTGTGTATTGTTTAACACGTTGACAACGACATCACCCACCTATGGGTCATAAATTATGTATAATAGTGTAGTGCAGCGGAACGGCGCTTTACTGTTAAGAAAAAAATATTGCTAATTTATACAAATGTAGTACATGCATAGCTTGTATATGCACATGATGATATATTCGATTTGAATATAAATTTCAATGATTCATTATTATTATTGCTTATTATAAAATCAATAATATTTTTTCCGTGTATATTGAGATAATTGAGTAATTTTATAAATTTCACAACATTTTCTCACGATATTTTACAAAAATAAAACAGGATCATTCTGTAACAGAAATGTTTATTTATTTTTATGAACATGTTCACAACATTAATCATGATACTGTGCGCAATAAGTAATAACTTTTTTTGCATTTTTAGCGGCAATTGCACTACCTTCTCGTAAAACTATTGTTTTTGTAACATTCTCGATATAACTTACTTGGGTCTCTTGCTGTACTGTACCAGGGTACGTTTGAATAAAATGTTTTTGCTTTGCTTACATCTCCGTATCGTCATCATTCATTAGTCTATCAATATTTATTTCTCGAAAGTTTAGCATGTAATATTGTTCCCCATTTCTCATGAATATACAAAGCATTTGTAGTGGACGTTCCACAAATTAATTATATTATATTTTTTTATACCACTTAAGCCATCTACGTAAACAGTTATAATGTGATGTTATTTGATCAGAAATATCAACTCCTTTTTCTGAATTATTGTAATCAAAAGCAGCATCTGGCTTCAGTTTTTCGCTCTTGCCTTGAATTTTAGCACACATGTTTGTTGCTGGTTGTTAACTTGGAAACAGGGATACCAAAGCCGCTTGTTATTTGTTTCAAATCTCCCTTTGCATATAAATTTGTATTGCAAGTATTGCAGTTTTTCTTCCTAATAATTTCTTCTACAAACTTCAATACACCTCCAGATAATTTGGAAAAAAGTAATTTTTCAAAAGGTTCATCAGAATTAAATTTAATTCGTAAGGGTACTGTAATTTAGTGGGGGTTTGCTGATGGCTCCTACGATTTCTTCATAAATTGTTCTATGTCTTCCTTTAACGTTGCACAAAAATCTGTTTTTCCAATTAGTTCCTTTTCTATTTTTAATTGTAATTCTATTTATTACAAAAGTGGAAAATCGGCTAATAAATAGATTACAGGATGGTTTGATATTTGGTCCCTGCATTTGTCTAAGGTGGCCAAATGTGTTTTCTAAAGGATTGGGTTGGGAAATAAATTAAATTAATTTTTTTCAGTAAAATACTGTGTAAATTTATAACTCCATTTAAAGTAGTAACAAAATTTCGTAATACAGGTGACTGTTTCATTCTTTCATTTCTATTGTTAACAAATTTCATAGTTTTGAAAACTTCCTTAGCCTTATACAACAGATCTAAATGTTTTGCTTTCATTGTAAAAGATTTTCTTAAATTTATATCTTTTTTTGTAATGTGAAAACCACATAGCAAAGCTGTACCCATTGAATTTGTAGTAAATGATTTTCAATTTGGACATGTTAAGTTCCCCAGTATCATAAGTTCCATGATCGTACTTACTGTCTGACTAAATAGCTGAACAGCATACGAAACTTTCATTTTTGGATTTTTTTCAGGATATATATGCCTTGTTGTAATTTTCTTCATCCATCTTCTTACATCCTCCCTTGGTGCATCTATGAAATATGCAGTTTTGATGTCCTCCCAACTTGCGTCCATTCAACATAAAGTTTAAATTTTTAGTTATTAAATTATTTCGCATACATTTAATTAGATGGCATATATCGTAAAAAGGCACAATTTCTGCTTCACCGATTCTAATAACATTTGGCTTTGGTTTGAGTAGCATATTAATTGCAGCACAATTTGTAGATCCTTGGTCACATTCAAGTGCCACAACTATATATCCAATTTCTATTAACCTTGTCTCTATTTCTTTTATAAATTTGGCTATTACGGTAGATTTTGTAGTTCCCTGAGTTAAATGTATAAGTTACTGGAATTTTCCATAGACACTTCTTACAATGAATACTTGCGCATGGTCTGCTATTCCATTGGTTCTTACATAGCTCTCATCCTCAAAACCAGTGAGCATCCCTCTTGTCGGTAAATGGACCAAATGTGGAGTTACCGACATTTCGTCAAAAATTAAGGTGACAAGCCTTTCTTGAATTTTACTTTTTTCACTAATATTAGACTTGAGTGTATGAAATACACTATCATTTATTCCAGGGTCTATTCTTATTCTCCCATTAAAACTCTCAAGTGTAGTTAAAGATGATAATTTAAAAATGTGCGATAAGTATTTATAGCAGGATCTGCTTTGCTTATAAATACTTAAAGCTAATACTTTATCTTCCAGAGAATAATTTTCTCCCCTAAGTTTCTTTCCGGCATTCTGCAATTGGTATTTAAAAAAAATTTGCACATCTTCACTTAAATTTTATAAATTCTTGGCATTCTGCCTTATATATTTTGTTTAATTTTGCTAAATAATATATTCTATTTTGAAGTGACTTTCTGCTGCAATGTTTCTTTTTAATAATGGTTTTTAATTTTTTAGTTCCCTTCTCATTAACTACCCCTTTTAGTACAAAATTTTCTATATGGGAATTTTCATCAACAACCCTGTATTTCAGGACTAATAATATTTTCAGTTATCATAGGCATATAATAAAAGAAGATTACAGACCTTCCTTTTCTTTATATCATTATCATCCATATTTCTTAATTCAACATTCATTGTGGCAATTTTTCATTGCTGAAACATTGGTGTATTATCGTCAGGGAAAGTTCTCATCTTTATTCCATCCAAATCTTTTGGTTTACATCCTTGGACGCAACATACCACAACCATCCTAATAAAAAAATTTACGCCATTTCGATTCATCAAGCTTAAAATGGCGCCTCGTTTTTGTTTTGCTTCCAGTGGTAAACATTTTCTATTTGCTTTTACAGTACCAGATAAGTATGTTGTCTTTTGCAATATTTCTTCTGCTAAAGTATAAAAGGTAAACAATGTACACCTTTCATACAGCAATTCGTCAACCAATCTCATTACCACGTCATGAGAAAGTCCTTTGTTTATAATTTCACCATTTTTACCAGCATACACTTCTAGGTTGTACGTATAACCACCAGGAAACATAATTTGATGCCTTATTTGTGTCGTTTACCAGGAATGTTCTGCCGTAAACTAAGGCGACCTCGCAATAGTATGATACTTTCGTCAACAATATCTTGTTCTGGTTTTCACTTTTAAATCTACTGATAATTTCGTCTAAAATAATTTTGAATTTATTCAAACGATTTTCATTTATGGCGGTGATATTGTCGCTGAAGTGCATATATTTTAAAAATACCTATTAGTTTCATATACCATACTTTACAGTTTTAACTATATGTTAAAAACAATTTGTAAAGAAAAAAAAATGGATCATTGCAATTTATATTCATGTCGATCAATGTTGTGCATATTCTAGCTCTACATGTCTCCTTTCCGTTATTGGTGTCCATTCTTAATTATTAGAATTTTCTTCTAAATTTTTATTTGAATCGTCCATAGATTCCCTCGTCTTCGGTAGCACAAACGTTCATCTCTTCTAAAGAGGTCGAAAGACAACGAGAACGTTGATCTCTTTCTAACTATGGATTCTTCCGAAGAACGATCATTTTCAGTATCATTCAGAATAGATATTTATTTCTAGCTGAAACAACATTTGCAAAATATTATTCATGTATGTATAGTGTGCGGCAGAAATAACTCGCACATTTCAAAGCGGACTTAGGACGATCGTATCCGTGTGGTTATTCGCCAGTATCACGAAAATCCGATACGAAAAAGTTGGTTAAAACCTCAAAACCAACAAAAAAAATAAACACCTAACAGGGGTAAAAAAGGGCTAAGAGATTTATATCAATAATAATAATCAAAGGGGGATTGAAAAAAATGGTACAAATATCTCTACTACAATGCCTCGATGCTCACCCACACCACGGCATAGTGACGATTTAAAACTGTACGATACCTAATTTTTCGTAATGAGGGAGTTATTTCTGCCGCACTATGTATATTTTATTTACTCTTCGGTGCAACACTAAATTTTAGAGAAAACCCTCGATTGAGGGCAATAAGCAATTTTTTTCTTACCAGAAATAATATGTTCACTTCGATTGCTTATGATCTGAACAGAATTGAATGAAAATTTCAAGTGTTTTTTACAATTGTTATAAATTTCTTCAAAATTATTAAAAAATGTACAAGAAAAGTTTAAGCGGTTATAGTTTGTAATTGACGTATAATATTTGACATTTCACTCAGCCCATAGGCGTCCACGAAAAATTTTCTCGATGCAAGCAAACCGATTTGTGCCGTCTTTAACGTATTATAATATGATTTTTTACTTTAGATGTTGTAAGTTACGATATTTGTTTATATATGTATATTATTTATATATTTGTGATATTATTATTTAAATTTTTTCATTAAAAAACATATTTTTACAAACTTCGTATCCTTCGTATTGTTCCGCCTTCGTATTGCCAGAACCACGCACGCATGCGTGAGATTATAACAACAATTCAAACCAATTTGAATATAGGTTAGAATTTGTTACTCTTTTTTTTAATTATGGATTTACAGTGTATAAATACAATTGATTGTAAACAAGGAGCTGTAAGAGCAGTGAGATTCAATGGTAAAGTGATTGAGGTTATTATATTTGTTTTTCTTTAATTAACTTTCATTCATTTTAGTTGATGGATCATACTGTTTAACCTGTGGTTCAGATAAGAAGATAAAATTATGGAATCCATATCGGGGACTGATGTTGAAAATTTATGGAGGACATGGGAATGAGGTCCTTGATGCAGCTGGTTCAAATGACAACAGCCAAATTATATCAGGATCAGCTGATAAATCTGTGATAACCTGGGATGTTTCAACTGGTGCTCCATTAAGAAGGCTTAGAGGTCATGCATCAGGTATTACTTGTGTAAAATATAATGAGGAATCCAGTGTCGGAATATCTGGAAGTTTGGATAATACTGTGATGATTTGGGACCTGAAATCAAGAAGGCAAGAACCAGTTCAGATATTGAATCAGGCAAAGGATTGTATAAACTCCATACAAGTTACAGATCACGAGATTTTAACTGGATCTGTTGATTGTTCAATTAGACGATATGACATCAGGAATCGAAAATTACATTCAGACTTCATTGGAGGTAAAACATAAATTATTTTTTAATTCAATTATTTTATTTTACTTTATTTGCAGCACCAATTATGTCAGTAAATTATACTAGTGATGGTCAATGTATAGTAGTTGGCTCATCGGATGATACTGTAAGATTAATAGATAAAAATACGGGAGAAATGTTAGGAGAGTAAGTTAATTATGATTGTATCATTTTTTTTTATTTAAATAAATTATATTTTAGGTATTTAGGACATAAAACAGAGGACCTTAATGTGGAAAGTGCATTATTAGCAAGTGATAATCATATTCTATCAGGGTCTGTAACTGGAGAGCTCTGGTGCTGGGATTTAGTGTCTGGGAAGGTCGTAAAGCGCTTTGAACATACAATTAAAAAAGTTTTAAATTCTGTAAGTACACATCCTGTGAAAGATGTAGTGCTTACAGCTTCAGTAAATACTATTAAGTTATGGGAAGTATCTGAGATTAAAGAAGATTCTTGAAGGAAACATGTATTAATTTATAATTACCTGAATTCATGTGAGTAACATTTATTTTTCTATTTTAAAGCTAAAAATTATATTAAAATATTGTTAGAAAGATAATATCATTTATTTATTTAACATTTTTTTACCAACTTGGTATATAGAATAACCACTTCAACAAGTACCAATAAAGAATAAATTTATTTTTTAAAATTAAATCTTTAAATTATTTAACCATTATTTGTCTATTTCAATAACAAGACTAAAATGAAGAGTATTTTTTTATATCAGTATATGCCTAAATACGAATTCTCATATTGAGAATGCTATAAATAGTTGTATTAATGGTGACTCAAATAATTAAAATATCTCTTATACGCCTTCTATTATTATCTTAATCAGTGAAATTCGTATTTAAGTGATGTTGATTCTATAATTGGTTATTTAAACATAATTGTTTCCTGCATTCAATTCTGAAAGTAAAATCTACTTAAATATTCTAGATCAGAGCTTCTCAACCTTTTAGCCGCTCGACCCTACATATTTGTTTTCTGCAACCTAGTTCTAAGAGGAATGCTACATTTCGAACGAAGTATAGTGATGATAATTTTATCAAATAAAATATTTTTTCGCAAAAAGTAAATCATTTTTATATAGTAAAATAAATAATACATTTTAATGTTCTACCGTTTTTGATAATATTTCATGACATATTTTTAATAAGTTTATTAAAGAATTTTGAATTTAAAATTAATTTAATTATTATATTATTACGACGATAATACTAGGAAATATTTAACGGTGTCCGGAGATTAGTCATCCCTGAACGGCATATTAAATATAAATTTACAAAATTATTTTATAAGAATAATATAAAATATGGTGAGAAATAAACCGACATTAGATTATTTGATTTAAGTTTTTTACATCGTTAATCACTTCGATTAACGCTGATTCGATATAACGCGATCTACTATTACTATGTTGTTATATACAATTTGAGTACCATACAAAAATAAATATAAGAGATTTTTAAAAAGTTAGTTGAAAAAAAAAAAAAATCAGTTCTTGATTAACGGAATTAAAAGCATTGAAATTGTTCTATAAATGTTATTATTTTGGTGGTAAGAATGCTAAGAAAAAACAGTTTTCTTTCTTGATATGTAATGGTTTTTATAAATGTTATATTCCATACTAACATCGAAACAGGGTAGTGGTCTATTATTCTATCTGTGGTACAACTGGCACTTTTATACTTTTAAAAATATAAATATTTTGAATTTCCACTAATAACAAAATTGTTTTTAAAATTTTAATTTTTTTAATTTCCTTTACTTTTTTTACCTATTGAAATTTGATGTTTTATATCTAATTTAATTCTCGTAATTGTTTTGAATACTGAATAAATATTTTTATTTGATTTACAAATATAATTAACAAAATTACAATTCTTCGAAATGTGATAATACTGGACTGGGCCGGCGTAAACACTCTTGCGACCAATCTAGTTTGATTTAAGAATTTGGGTCATAGTCGACAGATAACCTTAACATCTCAGACGTCTTCAGTATACAATTGTGGATTATTCTTTATTTATACATCAACCGCAATGGCTTCAAATCTTAAATATATTTTTCCGTTTTTAATTCCATTGCTTCTCCTGGTCAATATTTACAGTAAGTACTTTAAAATAAAAGTATAAATTAACATTAGTAGCACATTTTTCCTTATTTTACTAAATTTTTCAATTGCGTCTAGATAAAAAACTCATAAATTAATAACGAAAAACTAATGAAAAGTTAAATGAGTGTTCAATAATACTTTAATTAAATATTTATTTAACTTAATTTGCTCTTATAAATATTACTAATGTGTAGTGTGTATTTTATTTTAATCTCGAAGTTTATCATAAGCTGACCGAGATTGAAAAGATGACTTAAGCGACATTCACGAAAGCCTGATCTATTTTGTGTTAAAGGTGTCGATTCGTATCCAACCAATGTAAATCCTAATAATCTCTCCAATGAGGAAATAATGCAAATATCTTCACCAACAATACGCCGTGTTGTACGAAGGATTGGAACTGTACCAACAAATTATACCTCTCCTAATTGGGTACGTCCAACGCCAGCTACTATGCCTCCTAAAAGAGACTTTGTTTCCATTCCAAAGACGAATTTAGTAGGTCCAAGTCCCATGACACCCAAATCAACAACGCCAACGCTTCAAGCTCAACCGAAAAGGGATTTTGTCTCTCCTCCACCAGTACAAATTGTTACTCCAAGTCCCACAACACCTAAAACTACCACAACTGTAAAGCCAATTCAAGCAAAGAGCAAATATTTCAATCCTAGGAATAGCACCCCTAAACCAATCCAATCAGCTATAAAGGATTTCGTTGCTAACGAGGCGAGACAGTCAAAATTGTAATTTTGACAGCAATATAATGTTGATCTCTAAAAATATATTTTTTGCAAATATTGAACAATTTACTGAATATATATTATCTAACAATGGTTTTCTTTTATTGATGTTATGTTATTTATGTCGTATAATTTTGTTCACAATCTTTCATCAATGTGAACATTGAGTAAATTTAAGATCGCGGTTGACATTAAATGGATAATCTTTCCCGGTGGATAGTTACTATTTTTTTTTAACTATTTAAAGTATGATTACCAGTTTTTGCTCGAAAAATTATTATTGTTAGATCTAATTTTATCTAATTTCCGTGTGAATTAAAATTTTTAATTAATGCATAATAAACATATTTGGTAGAGGATAGTTGAAAATAAAATCCGCTAGGAGATTGGAGTCAGTATACGCTCGCTAATATTATTAAACTAGTTTTGTTTAAGAATTCGTGATGACCATATCGTGGTAGTTAATAGATAACCTTCGAATCGCACACGTCTTACAAAAAAAGGTTGTTATTAAAGAAAATACATAATTGTTTCAATAATAATTAGCAATGTCAAATCTAAATAATTGTATACAATTCTTCATTGTATTATGTTTGATCTTCATAAACAACTATTGCAGTAAGTATTGATTGTTCAATATTTAATATAATTTTAATAAGTAATTTATTGTTTATCATAGTAATGGACAAAATAAATTAAATATCAAAATTCTTAAATTTAAGTAATATTTTTCATGCGTTTGCTTAAAATGTGCATTTTTTCTGTAGCAGATGCGAGGCCAAATAATTCTAGACTATCTAATCAGCACTTAGGTCTGTCTACAAGTACACCGTGGCCGGAGCTTGGTCAAAGGAGGCCATACAAAGCAAACGAGCTGCCGAAGAGTAACCCTGTACCAATTCCGCCGCCGACATGGGTGAAACCAGCAAATAATACTGGAACCAATGCTGGCAATGGGCCTCCAAACTATTCAGCTTCAACGCAGCCTAAACGAGACTACATTTCCAGCCCAAAACCGCATTTAGTTGGTCCGAATCCAACAACATCCAAAAACACAACGCCGATACTTCCTATGCAACCTAAACGCGATTTTGTCTCTAGTCCACGAACAAATATCGTGTCGCCAACACCCGTGACTCCCAAATCTCCCACGCAAGTAAAACCGACGGAACCAAAGAGAAATTTCATCAATCCTAAGTATACCACCGCAAAACCAATCAAATCCGCGATACAGGACTTCTTCGCTAATGAAGCCAGGCTATAATTATATTTAATTAACGTCATAAAATCTATCGATTTAAAATAAAATTATATTTCTTTCAAATAAAATAATATAAATATAAAAGATTGCAAATGTAACATCATTCCTTCTTATTCCTTCTTCAATAAAGCAGCCATGAACTTTTGAAGAGATTTATAGTGTGATACCAAAAAAAATGCATATTACTTCATGACATTAAATCGAAACTATAATAGTCTTTTAGGAATCTATTTTTATGTTGCAAACGCAGACATTATTTATTATATTCAACCTCACTTTTATGAAAAAAATATGCAAAGATTCAACAACAACACTAATTAATATTAACCGCTATCTTTATGTATAATTTTAGATATCTTCAATACATGTAAATAACAAAAAAATCGCATTTTATACTGAGAAAAGTAAACATATTGTTTATTATTATAAATAATCAGAAACGTTCTCCTCGAATGTATATATACGGATAAATAATGCATTTTTAAGGACTGACGTAATTACGTATGCAAACAGCAGAATCGTTAATCGTCGAAGAGTGTGGAAAGTGAAATCCGCGAGGAGACTGGATTCGGCGTATGTACGTTATTATTAGTAAACTAGTTTTCTTTAACAACTCGTGATGACCATGTCGTTGTAGTCAACAGATAACCTTAATATCGCAGCTGTATTAAGAAATCATAATCTAAACGTACTTTTATTTCCTTGAACAGTGAGGCATAATGGCTGTCAATTTAAATTATATTACCTCGCTTTTCATTGCATTATGTCTTCTAGTTATCAATATTTATTGTAAGTACAAGCTCTTTATAATGGAAAAATATATAAAAAAAAGATCTCATGTTATTGACCTTAATTAGTGATGACAATAAATCATTGTTTATATCCAGTAGCTTTTGTTAGTTTTCTTAAGTAGTAGTATTTTAATTTCTCATGCTGCGTATTAATTATTATTTTGTTACATGATATTTTTGTAATCTTAAAGTTTATCAATATGATGACCAAGATTCGACGCGTGTATGATTTTTCTAAAACATAATTTGTTTTCTCAATAAAGGCGCTGATTTGTTACCATCTAATCCAAATCCTAATAATTCCGTGCAATTCAAACCCAACCAGGATGCAAGCCATTCATCGACAACACCATGGCCGGAGCTCGGTCAAAGAAGACCATACAGACCCAACAATATGCCAAATAATATGCCCTCATCTTCAACACCTCCGACTTGGGTGAGGCCCGTGCAAGGCGGAACAAGAGATTTTGTCAATCCACTGATTAAAAATGTACCGACAAATTATTCTGCTCCCGTCTGGGTACGACCAACACCGCCATCGACACAACCGATAAGAGACTTTGTTTCGAGTCCAAAGACGAATTTGGTGGGTCCAAACCCCACGACGCCAAAATCACCAACGCAGATGGCTCCTATTCAACCTAATCGTGATTTCGTCTCTAGTCCAAGGACAAATGCAATAGCACCAGGTCCTACAACTCCAAAACCCACTAGCTCTCTCAAACAAACAGAACCGAAGATAGACTTTGTTAATTCAAAGTTTACCACGGCGAAACCAATACAAACGGCTATACGGGATTTCGTTTTAAATGAGCGAGGCACTGTAAAACCAGCAGTTCAAAACCCGAAACAGAGCGTTACCTCGACCACTCAAAAACCCATATCTTCTTCAGGGCCGACCACACCGAAAGCTGGGAAGATATCGGAAGATGATGAGTTGAGGGAATTTTCGGAAACGCTTTGGAAAAAAGATGTGAATAGCGCGTTAAAATATATTACAATTAATTATCAAGGAAAGACTAGATCATCTTCATCGAAAGATGAGGCACCAGAACCGTAATGTATATAAATTAAAATAATTATTTTTGTGTTAATATGCGATTATTTCAGATTATTCACAATTCATCCAGATGCGTTTAAAATTCCTTCAATTGAAAAATTATTACTTCTTCATAATAATTACATATTGGACAGTAGTCAGAATGAAGTTTATACGGCACAAGAAAAAATTGAAGAAAATAACTTTTTGGACACCATTCTATCGACACCAGTAATGCAGCACACAAGAAACTTCTTAATTAAAAAAGGTTTACTTTAATATACACATTGCAAGTTTACAAAAAATATAAAGTTGGTATTGTTTTTAGGGAAATTGTCAAGGGATCCAAAACAGTTTAAAGACTTATTGAAGCAGTATTGGTTCAATATGTACTCGAGGGGCGGTGGGAGGATTGGATCTAGCGGTTTCGAACATGTTTTCTTGGCAGAGATTAAAAATGACGCGGTTTCCGGTCTGCACAATTGGATTTTTTTCAATCAGGAGGAAAAGAAGAACAAAGCTAATTACTTGGGTTACATGAAGAAAATTGAATTCGATGTGAGTGTATACAGATTCTTTACATGAACAATTTATAACGTTTTCTTGTACTTTAGAAAGGAGCATTATTGAAATACCATTTCAAGTTTCACAATATCGATAAGCCGGTGGGAACTTTGTTCATTGGGTCGAGTCCCGAATTGGAAATAGCCTTGTATTCGACGTGTTTCATCCTGAGACCTGATGACGCCTGTCCTGTACGAGCTGCAGGAAATAATTATGCTATACGTACTCATTCGTATAGGTACAGGGGCAAAAATATGATCGGAAGTGCTTATCTAGAAATTTAGTCGAGAGACATTCCAAAAATTTTACATATATTTAGTTGCATTTTGTATTTTCAACAAATAAAAAGAAATTATTTTCATTAAAAACAAAAAAAAAAGATTGTATTTCCAAATCATCAACAATTTTCTATCAACGAACATCTTTCCAATGTTTAATCTGTCAGCACATATCACGGATTAGGTTCAAGAAAGATTTGTACATGTATACAGGATAATTAAAATTGTAATTATCAATAATATTAATAATGCAGAAATTGGGTTATCATCACGACAAATATTAATAATATCGTTTCAATGCTTATTGAGCTATAATCAAATAATCAATTTGTTGATTTTCTTAAACTCAAGCTTTCTTTGCATCCATTACTCTCAGTTAAAGCCACAGCGACCGAAAATATACGCTTTGATTTGCTTTCCATGTTTGTTTTATGGAATGACCGCAGAATTTATAATTTATGAATTTCAGAAATTGCTCGTAACATTTTTTCCTCGAAATTTATTTATATTTATATGTTAATCCCGATTATTACTGAAGGTTATTTTCGTTAGTTAACAAAGAAACCAATATTGATATTTAGTATATTTTGTATTGTAATTTTATACGTTTGCAATCAGGATTTAAAAGTTCATCAAAAGTGTCACCTACTTAACTGGTGCGTAGGGCTCATCTGCAATTCTGAAGCTCGCGTTGAAACTTGAATGCTCGTTCAGAATTATCATCTTTTTCGATTAAATGGTTTGCCAATTTGTGTCAAAACTTGTCAAAATGGCCCAAAATAGTTATTTAAAAAAAATGCTTCTTGAAATAAAAACCGCATAACTTCAAAACCGCATAAAAAGAGGACCGAGTGTACATTCTTTGAGAATCATACCTTTGTAAACTAGTTGCGACTAGTTCAAAATTTCCAATACAGAAATAATTCGTATAGGGTAACCAGAAACTATACAAAAAGAGAGTTAAGACTTGAAAAGAATGTGTGTACTAATATTGTCATCAATCGGGAACAAGTAAAACTTGTTTAAATTTATGCGAGGCGCGGGATGAATTATTCAAAATCATGTTTGTCAATTTGTTTTTTTATTTTAATAAATATATTTATTCGTCAAAAATAATATACAATATAAAGTAAACAATAATTAGACGAAGCAGGATGTAGTTAGAAATCTGTCCAGGTGACATTTGCAAAGTTCCAATATCAACTTCAGCATTATAATAATTTTAAAATAATAAATTTTGTATACATTTATTTTAAACTCATAAGAAATAATTATAACAACAAATACAAAAACAGTAGATAACACATAAACGTTTAACGACTCCAGCAATTAAAGTCTGTCCTTTTCCTCCAATTGGAGTGTTGGATATCCTTGAATTTCATGAATAGATTTGGAACCATCATCAAAAACATATGATTCATAATTTGGCATGGAATACATTTTTAAATTGCTTGGTTGAATATAGTAACTTAGCATTTTGTATTGTTTGTTAACATATTCTGGATATTTAAACTGTTTCTTCGATTGCATTGGATTTTTAACCATATGATTTTTGGCTTGTTTTTGAACATTGGTAGTATATTCTGAAAATTTTACTCCACTTGAGTAATTTTCTATGTTTTTATAACCGTTATTTTCTGTCTTCATATTTCTCATTTGAAGTTGCTTCGCTTTTGTAGATAACGTACCTTGATTATTCTTAGCTCCTTGATAATATTTGTCATGTTTTCCCACTGGTGATTGTTTTCCATTCATAACACTTTGATATGAAACTGCTTGTTTTTGATTTCCTTGCTGCTGTTTGGTATAAGATTTGCTTTGGAATCCAATTGAAGATTGAGATTTTACTAAATCTTGAGTTGACTTCAGGGTTTCATCAGATTTCGTACTAACTGTTTGATACGATAATCCTTGTTTATTATTATCTACTTGCTTGAAAATATCTTCATTTTTAATATTGAAATGTTGTGGTTGATAAATCAATTCTTGGAAATCTTGCTTGGCATTTTTAACGTAATATTGGTTAGGATAACCTAATTTTGTCACTGTTTGTTTTGAATCAAGAGAATTTTCGCGAGGAATTTCAGATGATTGTATATTATTAGTATTTTGTTTAAAATTATTTTGATTATTACCTTCATAATCAACAGGAATGTAGTATGATTGAGTTGCAAAGTTTTGTTCTGCGTTCATATTATTCTTATATAATTTACCATTAATTTCCACTTTAGGAATTTTAATAAGAGGTGGTGCATAATATAATTCTTCAGCGGCACTAGCTTCATAATTATGTTGTCCAACATGGAACGCATCCTCATGATTTTGAGTTATTTCTGTACCATCAATTTGGAAATTGTAGTTTTGCTTCTTTGATAACTCTTTAACTGCAACAACTTCTTTCAAATTATGTTTATGTTGATTGGACTGTATTTTTAAATTTCTTGGACTATTGTTATAAACATGTTGATTAATTTCTTGCTTTCCTCTCTTATCCTCATTGACGTGATTCATATGATTGGTAAATTTTTGTAAATTATTACCTTCATTAATTGATTGTTCATTGAAGTCATTGTTATCTGATTCAACTGATCCATAAGAATGAGGCTCATATTGAGAAAACGATTTTTCATTTTGTTCATGGAAATCTTCGGTATTGTGAGTTGTATTCATTGTATGAGAGTCTGCAAATGGTACCGACTGTTTAACAATAGCTTGAAATCCATGTTCTTTGTCGGCTGTATAAGTGACAGTTCGAATTGATCCATCGGGATCAGCAATTCGGTATTCCCCTTTAACAACATCTCCATTTCTTTCTTCTTTGTGCATTTTGTAATCACCGGTCTTGAAATCTTCTACACCATAAGAATAGGTGTATTTAACTGGGGCAAAGTAATCAACATGTTTGTCAGTTTTCTCTTGATATTCAGACAAAATTGCTGTCGAGATTAGTAACAATCCGAATAACTGAAATACTATAAATTAAAACATAAATTTAAAAATATATAAGTTTATTGATTACCTTTAGAAACATTTTTGTATGTTTATTTTTATTGATAGTTGCTTTGTGGGAGTTGGCTTAGAACTAATTATTGTACAAAGAATTTCGGTTTATATACCGAGTCAAATGAATTTGCTTAACTGGACCGTAAAAAAGGAATATTTTAATTTTAAAAACAAAAATTGAGAACTAATTGGGTTTGATTTTTTTGTGGAAAGGCGCTTTCATTAGTTTTAAATAGTTTAATAAGGTAATTGACCCATAAGTAATGGTATATTATTAATAGCGTAATTTAATTTAACAACAAAATAAGATTATAAACTTTTTACAAATCAAGAATACCAACGCATATTTCATGGACTGGTTGATAAAGATAGAAATTAAAAGCAATGTAGATAGTATTTAGTAAATAAATTACGAGAACTGATAATAAAATGGTCGGCGAGACGACCATTTTATTATCATCTATTGTATAATTAATATCTTTATTTGTAAGGTCTATCACTTTTATCTTAATTAATACAAAGCATATTTCACGTATTCATCAAATATACAAACTTGGATACTTGTACGTGATTATTTAGAATAACTTGTAGAATATTCCAAAGAACGATTACACATAAAATCGTAGTTGCGTCTATTTTATCTCAACCGCCTTCTTCCACATATACATATTTAGGAAATACCAACATATTCTTAATTGGAGGGCCGAGGGAATAACATAGACTTAGTTGGAGTGCCAAAAGAAGAACATAGTCTTAGTTGGAGGGTTGCAGTGCGAGCATGGTCTTACTAGGAGAGTCCAGGGAAGAGCATTTACTTCTTAATTATTAACTTAAGAGGAGAATTTAACTCTTAGTTAATAATTCATAAGATCAACACTTGACTTCTCAATAAAAGCTCTTATGTATAAATAAAACTAATTAGGAATATTGCATTTAAGACTTCACAACATTTGTTCGAATATAAATTATTTCAGTGTCAGTTATACCATTATCAGATAATAGTTTTAGTAATGGTAGATTCTAATAGGATGATCTATGTCTGTTATGCAAAATCAAAGAGATTCCTTCCTACACTAATTTTTGACTTACTATTGAAGAACTTCATTTTTTGGAGATCGACGAGTGCAAGATCATTTTTAATTTCCGTGTCAAAATAAAATAATTACTGGTAGGTAAAACCGGTTAACCATCGATATCGAGGGTGAGTTTTTTTCTCTGTTCTTCTAGAATCCTAAATGGGATATTCAGTCATTCATGCAAGAACTATCTGATTTTTATAATGTTACGTTATGCATCATTTATACTTAGTTTAGAAACTTTTAGCTAAATTTTATATAATTACTTAATTAATTAATTACTTTAATTCTTTCTAACGGTTTAATAAATTCGTATTCATTTTTTATTCATTTGTCTATATTATTATTATCTATTAATAAAATTAAACTCTTTTGATCAGTGATAAGACCTTTGTGTTTCTTTCTTTTAGTTTATCCAAATATGTTTACAAAATTTATACGGGGCGTTATGTTCGTACGCAAATTACATTATCTTAAAGTAAATAAGGATTAGAGGAAGGAGTTACGAAGGAGTCTGAAAGATTGTTGTATATCCTACATTATTTTTGAACCTCAGGTGGATATTCAATGATGAATTTGCGAGTCTGATGGGCCAATTCAGAAAACTTATAGATACTAAACATCCTTTAGCATAAATTTCAAAGTTATTATAATATGTATAATTTATTATTTTATTTAAAAATTATGTAAAAAGCATTATAAAAAAATATTGTTATGAATTACATATATATGAGGGAAGTCCCAGAAGTACCCTCACGTATAGACGGCAGTATCAAGCTTATAAAGCCTATGTTTGAAGTTTGAAGACGTTGTTTAGTATTTGTTTGATGGCTAATCAGACAACTCAGGTAATCAGACAATCGAATTATGTGAGTTGTAATTACCTGATTAGCAAATACATCCATTAGTTCAAATCGATAACTCACAGGTTAAAGAACTGATGGACTTCGCGGAATGCAATTTCTTTGCCGCTCTTCCTCAGAAACAACGGCAACAACATAATGTTAATTATTTTACGGAAAACAATGTATCTACTGGACCGTACAAACTTCAGGACGGCAATTTCTTGGACAAAGCATGAAAATCTACATTTGCAAAATATTTCGTATATATTTATTTATTATAAGTGCATCGGACAAGATTAATTTTTTATCGGCACCTCTTATCCAAAGCGTCATGATGATATACACCAGAAAAATGAGCATAGAGTTTGCAAAGAAAGCTTCAAGGAATCTTGATGATTTCGAAAATATTGATAAGATGTCAAGTAAAGATAATTTATATTTGTTACCAACTGATGGGATAAATGAAATGTAAATATTAACATTTTTAATATAATTAAATTAAAAGATATTTTAATTGAAATAATTACTTCCATTTATTTGTACTTTTTTTTATTTATATTAATTGTAATTTTATATTACCTGCAACTACAAAAAATGTTTCCAAATTTTGATATTATGGTCACTTCGAGTAAATCCGTATATCGAATCACCGCTAAACGAGCTCTTACTGTAATTGCAGAAAATAAAAACTTGGAACAAAATAAACACATTAATGGAAACCAAATATTATAAAAGTAATAACACGTAATGATATTTTCCCGGGTCAATTCAAAATATAAAAAAATCTCGGGAATTCCAGACTATGTAAAATAGTACTTAATTAATGTTTATACTACATTTTTAACACAGTACTACATAGTAATACTTAAACTTATTAATTAAATAATAATTTTGTGATGTTTAATTTTGTTGTTCAGTGAGAAAAAAAAAATAATAAAATGATTTAGTTGTCATTGTTGGTGCATGGTGCTCCACGGTACATTAAAAACAGAAGAATTCACGAAGATATCCATATGGAAGCACTGAAGGATAAAAAAACAGTAAGTAAAATAATCTAAAATATAATAACAATTATTATAATAATCCAATAAAAGTTTAAACTCAATAAAACTCAAAGGATTATGCCACACGAATATAAGTTGTACCTATAATGCTCATTACACATATTTATAAAGTAGAAACTATTAAGTACAAATTAAATGTATTATAATTTGTACATATTCCGACAATAATAAATATCGTGCAAAAAATATATTCTCTCAAAATGTTTCAAGTGGAAGATACATTTTGCAGCATACTATCTCATTAATATTAATTCGCTTAGAATTAAGCAATACGTGTAACTTAGCAAAGCAATATTGTACAACATTTTCTCTTCTATATAATTTAATTCGTAAATTCCTGTTAAAAAGTCATTTGATTAGTATTATTTACATTTTCTAAAAGTTAATACATTTCTATGTCACTAGCTTCCAGATTATTTAATGCATAACATAAATTTAAATATATAATGTATTTTTCTCTTTTTATTTATATCTTGTTTTTTGGTAATTTATAATTATTATTATAAAATATAACCCACAAAAAAAAACAACAATACATTCTATATAAATAAATGAATAAATCTAATCAGAGTAATATTGGCCTTAGTCTTATTTAAATTTCAATAAAAGAAACTTACTATAACTTTCACCAATGCTTTTTTTCTAATTCGTTTGTATTACAATAATATATTTGTTTTAACAAGAAATTTGGAGAACGTAAAAAAAATAGTACGTTATTAATTCTTGAAATCTGATTTATTAATTATTTAGTAACAGATTTATATTTTAAAAAATTACAATTGCAAATCGCCCCACCTATTAATACTTTCTCCGAAGGACCGCTGTGTAATTTAATTTGGGTGTCCGAAGGAAAATTTAAAGATAGCTTCAAAGAACCGCTAGTGAGCACCAACTTTTGTGGATTATTAGTAATGCAGTCTTCAAAGCTACGCATCTTTTTAATAGATTCCGTAGATTTTGGCTTCTTCTTCTTTGGCTTCTCAGAAATCATCGGCAATGTATTTTCCCTCGATGGAACTGATTTGCTTCTACCTCTTCCGACTTGACCACGCTGTGGTTCCCAAGGTACTCTACCTTCGCAAATCTAAAAATAGTGCAATTGGTAAATTGTGCATTTACATATTTTGTATTTTTACAGTATATTTTTGATATTTTTTCGGTGAACATGCGGAACACTTTGATTTTCTTAAGTGATCTGTACTCGGTTCGCGTTTTAACTGCAAATCAGCGAAATCTTCTTCCAGTTTAAATTTCTTTGGCGTCTCGTAAATAGTAACTCGATTCAGGAAACTAAAACGTTTAATTTTAGACAAATTTATTGTAATTTAGAATTTAACATTTTAAACATACTTTGGCAGTGGTTTTGTCCAATAATTGTCGACTCTATTGGTTCGCATTATGAAATTCATTTTTCTCAGTAAGTTTAAATTTTCAACTTCGATTTTGGCTATTCTCTCGACCTCCTTCTGCTTCTTCTTCAGCTTAGTCGATACGTGTTCTCTTGTTGGTGGTGTCCTATTATCAATTACCGGAAGCGCTGATTGGATCTGAAATTGAAGTTGTATAGGTGAACAATTTCTTGTAATAAAATGTCACTTGAAAATTACTTTTCTCAAATGATTTTCGTATTTCCTGTCTTCCCACGGTCTTACTAAAATTTTGTCTCGCCTAGTTAACATTTTCTACAAGCCTTTGGAACTGTTTTGTTTACTATTTCGTTGCCTGGCGATATACCTGATTCATTCATATGCAACTTTTTATACATAATATTTGAGTTGTATGTGTATTCCCATATCACAATAATAATATTTATTATAAAATGAATCAAACAAAAATATTTACAAGTAGTTAATTCTGATTATTAACATTAACTATTTTAGTGTAATAATGATGTAATTTTTTTAAACCTATCCATTTTTAATATTTTAAAAATAAATCAATTTAAAAATATTGAATTTTATAAGTTCTCTAAGCTTGTTAACTATTTAATTTATGACACAGCAATTATTGAAATTACTGTAATGAAATTAATATTGTTTATTAGTAAAGTTGATTTAAATATGTGTTTTAGCATAATAAATTCATAAATGTAATGAATGTATACGTTGTTTTCAATAGTTTTACAAACTACAAATATTATTTACATACCAAATACATTGCATAGTGTAATTTTTATTTGTCTGGATTTGGTACGGATTTGGTATTGTGCAGTTTGAAAATTTGAAACAAACAAAAATTTAATTGTTCTAAAAAACTTTTTTTCTTTATAAAGCCTTTGTCTCTTTTTATGCAGTTTATTGTTGTATATATTGACAGTTTTCCGGACTATGCGAACTAACAGATTTAGGTGTTTATTTGGTTGTATATTACTTTATATTCTTATACCTTTTAATATGGGTCTATATCGTAAGCCCGACAACCGAAAGACCGTCTATTAAAAGCCCGTTCGAAATCCCGAGTGTATCGAAATCCCGACTACCATAATCCCGACAATCAAAATCCCGACTATATCGAAATCCCGAATATATCGAAATCCCGACTACCATAATCCCGACAATCGAAATCCCAACAGTGTCTCTTATTATTATAATTTCTACAATAAATTTTTAAATTATTTTATTATATTTTAATAGGTACGATGGATAATGAAAAAATACTTTTAAGACCTAGGTCAATGGCTCTTTTGCCCGATTATTAATTGTTGTTATTTATTCTTAATAACAATAAATAATATTAATTATTATTGTATTTTTTTTCGTTGACTTATTCATTTTAAAACTTAAGAATAAGAAATATTATATAATACAATTAGTTTATGTTATTAACAGTAAATAACAACAATTAATAATCTTATTAAGATTTCGAACATCGGAATTTCGGTTGTCGGGCTTGCGATTGCCACCGTTTTAATGTTATTATCTCTGCAATTCTATATATTATGTATTAACTGTCCGAGATTCCTTCGGTTCCTCTTGTCATCGGAGCGGCTTTCATATGTTTTTATAGAACCCTTGAATAAGTACAAAGACCAAAGCTGCCGTAATTATATCCATGCGACACAGGCTAAGTGTATCAAAAGCGTCGCTGCAATCGGTTGAATGTCCGGTGCCCCACGAAATTTGGGGCCACCAAAGAGTGTTAATTACCCCGTTCTCACATTTTTTTTAGTTGGCTCCTCATTTTATATTTATGCCCGTGGTCTCAAAATCCAATATTTAATAGGAAAATGTTAATTATAATCAAATATTTTTTTATATAATTTTAAGATAAAAATGTGTTACGATAAATTTGAACCATGAACATATTTATGAAAACCCGAGTTAATAGTATTTGATGCTGAAGTCTTTATGTGTAAGGCAGTGAGTTTTTTTTTCAAAGAAACAATTCCATAAACTGATATTAATATGTTACGCATGTGAAAAAACTATTGACAAAAATGGTTTTTGGACTATATTTATACTATCTTAAAACTGGTAAATGTAGAATAAAGTATGTGAACATTGTAATACCATAAACTTCAGATTTATTGGATTTGACGATGAAATAATTATGCAAACTAACCTATGAGCTGATTGTTGAAACAAATGTATGATTGGATGAAACTTCTGCAACTCATTTTTTTTTTAAATTTTAATGTGAGCTTTTATATTTTGTTCTTTTAATATTTTTCATCTAATTGTTGCACCATATTGTAACATTTAATTATCCTTTAAGAAAAATAATATCATAATTGCGTATTCTAATAAAATATATCGCAATTGTAAGATAATATAATAATTATAAGTTTTCTGACATAAATTATTTGTTAAACATTCTAATAATAATAATAATAACATTTTTTGTAACAAATCATAGTACATACTCGAAAAAAATAACATTATTATAACAAGAAAATAAAAAACAAACACATGGATCTGCTCCAAAGGGTTATTGGCCATAGGTCTTTCTAATATTATATGATATTATAGATATACATTGACTTTGTCATATGTATTACAATTTTTATACACAACTAATTAAATTATCACAGTTATATTATTCTTAATACTAATTGTTATTTAATTATTAGTAAAGTAAAATTTATTATCATTAAAATAAATATATTATAACAGATAATTTACATACTAATTTGCACTTATTTTTGTAAATCCTCTATATATTGCATTAACAGTCTTATTGTATGTGTTTATATTAGTCTATATACTTTTTATTTTTGTGAATGAAATTTGGATAATTTTTCAATACAAAAAAAATTGTAATAATGTAATTGAACTTGGAAATTAATATTTTAGGAAAAATATTATTTTTACGACCTCGGTTGTTAGCCCTTTGGCCAGTCTATTAATATATTTTTTTATGTTACAATTTATTTATGTATCGAATATACTTTTTTTCTTTTGTATTTGTATTTTGTAAAAATAATAAATTATTATTATTATTTTTACTTTACGAAAAGGAGTATCATATTTGGTACGTACAAGAGGATGATGATACAATTGAACTGAAAACTTTTGTAATAATATAATTATAAAATCAATATTATAAAATTAGAAAACATGGTTTATTGTTTATTAAATATATATAACTCGAACATCATATATTCTATGAATGATAATTCTCCTCTTTGTATAATTTTCATATTTTTAATTTTAATTGTATATTATAAATAAGTTATGTACTAAAATAAATCAAAGTTTAACTTTTTATTTAACAATTTAATTAAATTGAAGAAAAAACTTATCGGAAATAAATATCTTTTAAAGAAATTATCATTAATAGTTTTCACTTTAATATTAATTTATTTTATGAATTTTGTTATATTTATGTTATTAATATTATTTAATGATAAAATTTGGAATATTAACAATACAAAAACATAAATATTTATTTGTAACAAAGCAAAAAAAAAGTTTATTTATTTATTTTTTTAACAAAACCTGTTTTAGATAATAATACATTGTAAATGGATAACAATATTCACACGATCACAGTATTAATTAGTAAATGAATAGAAACAAAAAAAAAACATATAAAATGGAAACTATTGAAATAAATAACGAAGAAAAACATAAATAAATATCAAATGCTCCCATAACCACTCTATTGAAACAAAGAAATGCACAAATGTTCTTTTTCTATGAAAATCCCCAATCGATCAGAACTTGTGCGCGTTCGCTAAAGTAGTCAAAGCTTCGGCAGCATCCAACTCTTCCTTCCCGTGCTGCTGCTGATCATTGTTGTTAATAATGATTGTATTATTGTTGTTTGCTGTTTTCTTGGGCCTCTTTTTCTCGATCTTCTCGTAAGTCCAATCCAGATAATTGTTTTGGCTCGGTTTAAAATTTACTGCACTCTCAAGCCATCTCGAAATCATCGACGGTTTCTCTGTTTCACCATTAACTTTACTCGAGACATTGTCCGGCTTCTGGCAATCCTTCAAATACTTTTCCATAATATGATTCTTGTATTTATGCTGTGCGAACGGATTTTCAGGTTCCGGTTCCGTCGTTGAACTTATGTAGAACGTTTGTATATCCGAACCGTGGTTCCTTTGCACCACGTACTCCTCTTTCGGTTTGTAGCTGAAATCGTAAGCTTTTCGATCGTACTCATACGTTTTCTGTTCAAAATCTGAGGAATTGTTTTCCATTTCGTGCCATATACTGTCATCTGAGCATATGCTGAAATGCTCGACGTTTCCCTGCACCTGATTGTTGTAGGTTTTTATCAGATGACCCCAAGTTTTGCGTTGCGGTTCTTTGCCGGCGTTTTTCAGTTTTCTCCTCCAATTCGCAAACCAATTGCATACCTAATCAACACATTACATTCGAAATATAATTACCAATAATAAATATATTTTTTAATCTTACTTGAATGTAAGTTAATCCGGTTTGGATCGCCAATGTTTTCTTTTCATCCCGATTCGGATACGGATTGTCTCTGCGCCTTATAAGCCAGTCTTTCAGGAATCTCTTGATTTCAGGAGTGAAGAGTCTCTTTGGCGGCCGTCGTTCTTCGCCAAAAGCCCTCCTATTTGCATTTATTATTCAACAAATCTTCTCTAAAAATAATTTTTACTCTGACCTGCTGTAGCGTTTCGTTCTGACGGGTCTTCTAGCCCGATCCCTCATGCCATCCATGGTTCTCGAATCCATGACCTAATTTTGAATAGATTTATTTTTTCTACTTAAGTGCAAGAAAATAATGGGAAAATACTTGGAGTTATATAAATAGAACTAACATGATCTCTCGTGTTGGGTAATAGGAGAGAAAAAAAACAAGATGGGAGTCTGCTACACCTTGTAAATTTACGTGTTTCCAGTTCTGGAGCTTCCGAAATTGAATTCGAAGTATCTACTGTCCGCCCATAAGCGAGAATTACGCTCGATCTTCAATTCGTAATAGATGAAATTATTTTATGTTTAGTGCAAACAGGAAAACGAGATAAAAAACATGATATTTTATGTAATTAATTCAACTCGGAATACGTACTCTTTACTGTAATTTTCACTGTCGCAGTAGGTGTTTCCCGGTGGTTTAGTTTAATGTTTTCTCTAATTTCACGGCACTTTTCGATGTATTTTTATGCAAACAGTGTCATAAGTACTTTACAACTGAGACAACAGATCTGGGGACATCTGAACTGCAACACAGTTTTATTTTCAGAAACATCTCCCGCATGGAGTTTGTCTGTATGTGTATATGTGATTCGTCGCATTCATATGAGAATTTGCTTCTGGACATCGAAAATTATTCCATATTAACGAGAGGGCATACAAATCTAATTTACATTAAATAAACTTGCAATACACGTGATCATAACAATTTTGCTATTAAAATCATATCCGTTGCATTTTCTATTAAATATCAAAATATTGTTAAACTTTCTTAAATTTAAAATTGTATATCATGTTGATCAATGTGGTGCAATATTACATTTTAATGTAATCATTTAACATTTACATTTTGTATAACACAGTTGAATTTGTATATAGTGCATCCATCTATGAGAATCTACTCAAAATAAAAGTTCTATTTTTGAAACTTTTCTCTCGAATAATCTTTTTTACTCTCGATTTTCATTAATTCTAACAAATATAAGAATAATAAATGCTCTACATTGAAATGTCTAAACATATTTATTGTTTTATTTCACTTGTAAACGTACAAAATCAAAATAATTTATTTTCATTCGTTATTTACATTAACATTATTTATTTTATTACAAAATAATATATTTAAGTTAATGACAATTGTAAGAAATAATAAAAAAATACAAATGGAAATATTAGCAATACTTTACATATATTTTTAAACCAAACTACTGTTCTGTATAAAACTTATGCAAATTAATTTATTTGTTTAGAGAAAAGTAGTTGATAAGAAACAACGCATAGCAATATCACGAATAGAAAATATTAATGATAAAGTTATATTTCCTTTTCTTAAGTCATAACTCACAAATATAGAAAGTCACTAATTCATTTTTGTTATGAAAGATCTCGTTTCAATGCAGGTGGCGATTAGAATGCTAGACATCAGCATTGGAGCTATAGGCTAGCTACAGAGAAAGAGATTTGAAAGTTTTTTATGCAAAAATCAAAATTATTTATCAACAGATGATACCGCTTACTTTCCCAAAAACAGAAGAAATATTCAAGACGTTCTTGACTTCCGCGTAATAATCTAGAAACTATACTAAAATCGAGCAATACTTAGACCTTTCGTCATACCACTCCTAATTATATCGTTATGCTCAAGACTGGCGAAATTTATAAAATCACCATTATTATATAACAAATATTAGGAATCATGTAAACAATTAGTAATTAAAATCTAACCAAGATTTCTGGATCTGTCGAGGTCGACCTGACGCAGAAAATACAAATTTCTCCTTGGCACTTCACTCAGAAACACACAAAACAGGAAATGTTTAAGATTTGTTCACTTGTATTAAATCTTTAAATTCAGATAGAATATTTCAAAATTACACCAAAACAACAACTGTAAAACAACCGCAGAAAAGATTTCCTCCGATACGCAACGTCACGTGGTGAAGATCATTCCTGAACAATTTTTAAACCGCTTCCAGTAAAAGTCTGAACGAAAGAAGACAAGGAAGTTGAATCTTATGTATCTTGTCTATTGCAAATATACATTCAAATGAAACCAATATTCCCAAAGGAAATTATATCATATATAAGTAGTCAAATAAACCCAAAATGCGCCTCGACAACATTCATTGAAAGAGGGAAAAATTGGTAATAAAGTTTAGAAATATTTACTGATTATTAATCAAAAACTTTTTTGTTATTATATCCTTTAACAAAGAATTTATATTTGTTGACAGTATCTGAAGATGTTAAACAAATGAATTAAAATAAATAAGGAATAGTTTCTGATGAAGACCAAGCATCATCATCAGCTAGTCAAGTTAATTTATTTTTTTATTCGCAAAAGTTTAATTACAAAAATCACAATACAAAGTAAATTCGAACATTAATAATAAGTGTAAATCTTAATAATATAATAATATTTATTAAAACACTTAAACTTACATAATTAAAAATAAATAAACGATGTTTATTATGCTAATTATCTTTTTGGATCAATTAAATTGACGGTTTTTTGAACCCATAAAAAACGGGTTCTGATTCAAGCCATTGTAAACTAAGTGGGTTCCGGTTAGACCCTTGTTCCTGTAATCATCCAATTGAAAAATATATCATATAAGTGTGACAACACATTACAAGTCTTTATATATTAGTCTACTTTTGTTTAATTTTAAAAAACATTTTCTGGTAATATACTAGTAATAGTGATTAAATATTGAAGAGTTGTCCCAACTAACAAAAATATTAAAATATAGCAACAACAGACAATAGTAACATTTGGTATGAATCAGTTTATTTACATCCAAACGTTTTGTAATTATATCGTATAGCATATTAATTCGGCTACAGCAGTAGTAAAAGAATAAAATAAATGAAAACTGGTTGCAACACATGCAGCATCTGCTAGTAAATATATATAAAGAATTATGATAATCATAAAATAATATAATATAATGTAAAATCAAAATGATAAAAGTGATATAAATTAAATATAAAATAAATAAACAGTATTTTTATTTACCCACATTAGTGTTGTGGTAAAAAGTTACACGGTTAGTGTTGTGGGGTACCACACCCCAAGGAAAATGTTACTATGGCAGTAACAAATGCTTATATCTTTATTACTAAATGTTTTATTTACATATAAATTAAAGCAAGTGTTGTTTGTTAAAACATAAAATCAATCCACTAAACTTAAATTAACATAAATATTTCTTTACATGAACATTAACTAAAAAATAAAGTTATATTGAAACAATAAAGTCCAAAGAATGAACTAAATTTTATGAAAAATAAAATATTGTCATATTACATTGACAAGAAAAGTTACTTTAGTAGTGTGACGGGGTATATGATACCCCAACCGACTTTCAAGAGAACTAATAACGAACTGAGTCTCATCAGACAGTCACTAATTGCTATATTCTGTTTATACATGTATAATCTGAAGCTACTGATTGCTACTGGTGTTTTTAATTTATGTTTTAGAACATTAAGCAGGTTTAAATAAAAATTGTCTTTACTGGTTTCTTTTGAACTATATCGAAGTTGTTCGATAATAAAAATTAAATGAATATTAAATATTTTTTCTAAAAGAAGTACAAAAGAAATGCATGTAAGCAGAAAATGAGAATATTTTGTCATAGTGATATGAAGTGATGAAGATGAAGTGATGAAGAAAACAAAGGTTTAATTGTTCATCACATTTAAAAATATGTATTAAATTTGTTACACATGATTGTTACTTTTAATAAATATATCTCACTTAGTTATAAATAAAAATACAATAATTTTGTTAATTTCTGTCCTGTTTTAAGTACTATAGATTTTTAGTTATCTAACGAAAATGTAATATATAGGACAACGCATCTAAATACCCTCCTCGGCTTTGCACAACAATAACAAGTGAACGGTGAGTTTTGCAACAAAATGACAAACGGTATCGATAATAACCCAGTTTTTGTGTATGGATGGTATGGATACCGAAGACATGTGGTTCCAACAGGACAGGATCACTATCCACACATCACCTGTAACAAGGGGAATTATTGAACCCGGTTTAACGCTTTCTTTGGAGTTTTTTTTAAGACAAACATTTATGAAGGAGAAGATTAGACGCTGTGTCACTGAAATCCAGTGAATTTATTTATGTAAATATAGTTAAATATCAATACAAAAATTGTAACTTATAGATATGTGGCTGTATTTTAAAACTAGAAACACTATTCAAATAAAAGTAGTGAAACAATCAGATTATTGCAGACCAATTTCTTTCAACTGGTAACACCAATTAGCTACTAAGATCATGCGTCTTTATTATTTGGAGTAATTTTGTCAAGTCTATGTAAATAAACCAGAGACAATTCACACTCCAATAGCCAAAATACAAGCTTATTATGGAAATAAGGCCGTATGTTTACATGTCTACAAGAAATAAAAAAATCTTGATCTTTATTATTCGTTGTCATTTTATTAAAAAAATAAATTCACCTCTTAATTCAACACCCTATATTATAATATAGTAGGTACAACAATATTCTATAAATTGACTACTGGAAACCCGAAATTTAGGGAAAAATGGAATATTGACATTATAAATTATGTTCTTCTAAATAAGAAGTAAATAAAATTAATGCAAAAAATATCGTCGCACGAATTAACAGTTTATACATATAAAATAAAATTGTTCTCAGACTGCAGATAATAAGTTTCATAGTAAAGAATTGCGATTATAAAGTTTGTACGAAATTTCAAATTCGTTGGGTGTAACTGAGTTGCAAACCAAATAAGTCTCGATAAAAAAGGATGATGCAATGTCGTAGCACAAAAAAACGTGAGAAAAATTTAAAAGCGATATCTACTGATGAAGATTGTAGCGTGTTTATCGCACTACCGATTATTACGAATAGTTATAATATAGTATATTGGCGGGGTGCCCTTTTCGATGAATGGAATGGAGTAGTGCCGTTCTCTGTAACCGAACTAAGAGAAAAAGGGGGATCTCGCGCGCTCTGAAAATACCGCAAATAGCGCATGCCTCCCCGAGTCGTGTTTGGATGAAGTCAGTTGGAGAGTCAGCAGTTAAACCCGCCAACGTTCGGCAAGATCGCACGTGTCTGAACCGCGAAACGCCGCACGCGATATGCTTTTCGTAACTGTTCAGGTGTCCAGTTCAGTTCAGTTCTTCGCGAATTCTACTATTCTACTTTAAATAGTTGACCAAGTAACATTCAACTAGACTATATCATTTACGATGGCCGATGCGGTAGATAAACCGGAAGCCGCAAATCTTAAGCGGAAGATAACACTCCTGAACGGCGTCGCTCTGATCATAGGAACGATCATCGGAAGCGGTATATTCGTCTCCCCGAAAGGCGTGATCGAGAGCACCAATTCGGTCGGGCTCGCCATCGTCGTCTGGTGTCTGTCGGGCATCTTCTCCATGCTCGGGGCCCTTTGCTACGCTGAGCTCGGCACCTCCATCACACGATCAGGTGGCGACTATGCCTATATCTATGCAGCTTTTGGCCCTCTATGCGGCTTCCTCCGACTGTGGGTCGCGATCCTCATCATCCGGCCAACGACACAGACAATTGTTGCGCTCACCTTCGCCGAATACGCGGCGAAACCCTTTTTTCCCGAATGCAAACCACCGGAAAACGCAATTAGACTGCTCGCCGCCGTTTGCTTATGTAAGTATACCGCGGCATTCACTTACATTTCTTTCATCATTCAAATAATCGTAGCTTGACAAACTTTTGATAACTTCTATGAGCTAACATTCCCCAAATAACCGTAAACATATATTCAGTATATTTATAATTAGAAGCACTTGTGGTAGTATACATATTCGCACACACTAAAACAACTGTTTACTAACAATTGTAAAAGCAATATCATTTTACTTTCTTAACTTTATTACAATTTTTTAGAATTATTTTATTACTATTGATCATTTATTAATCTTTATTGTATACATATCAACTACATACTTTGTATTTCATTTAGTTTTTTGTTAATTATATTACTATAACTAGCAACTTAACATTTTTGTGTGCAAGTTTTCAAAATAAAAACTACAGTTAATAGCATTTATTCTATATTTAGTTATATCCTAACTGACCATAGACTTTTCGCTAAGTGTTACTCATTTTTCATTTGAATTATTATTAATAATCATCTCATTTATATCCATAAAATAGTACTCAATATTTTAAAATTTTCAAATAAAAATATGTATGAGATAACTTTTTGTATGATATTTTTAATCAAATCAAATAGACATTGATTTTCATTTAAAGAATGTAAATAAAAGAAAAATTAACTACCAAGTGAGAATATTTATAGATATAATAATTTACTTAGTTTTTATATTCTTCTGAGTTAAATTTAAATTTTAGTTACTTTGTAAATAAAAGATTGGATAGGAGATATTATGTTCGGAGGTTCGCTAAAAATGATGATGATAATGACAGATCAATCCTGGTTGTTTTTATACACATACCCAACTTTTTATGTCCAAAAGGTAGTCGCGGACCAAAAAGTTTGAGAATCACTCAGATAGAAAATATATAAATGATTTCATATCTCATTAAATTCTGTTAGAATTTTCCTTAGAATGATGAATATCAATCAATATTATATAAGACACTCATAAGAATTATAAAAATGATCTAGGTGCAGCCAATATAAATTGTAATTATCGTTAATAAATTATGTATATGTATTAAATAATTTGAAACAATTTCTTTTTGCATAAAAATCGCGCTGCATAATGTCATGTGCCCACGCTATATTTTTTTTTGGTGATCATATTACAAAAATATTCTAGTCGCAATATTAGTCATGTGTTATACATTTTTTGCATTTAGCAACTTAGAGCTATCTCTTTATATTGTTAAATATAATTATTTTTAACAATTTGTAATAATGATTTCATTAAATTAAATTTACGTTTTTAATTATTTTATATCGTAAGTATCAAAATCGTTTATTTAGTAAATTTAGCATGTGGCATTCATGTGTGCACTAGCTTAAATGTGTGTACCATGTCTTATAAGCAGAGTGGAACCGAACGAAAAAACGAAATTAACCTGATTTTTTAACAGAACCGTTACTGTAACCGGAACGTAAAATTGCTCAATTGAAAAACCGAAATTTTAAAAGCGGTTAATTTTGGTTTAATTTTTTTCATTAAATTAATTAATTCATTGCTCCTTGCAGAAATATGATACATTTCATTTTAATCTCAAAACAGTTGGTATACAAAATATGACGGTGGATAGAGGAAGAATTTTCGTCTGAATTCGGTATAATTTGGAACTTTTCAATTTTTTTTTTCTTAATTAAAATTTTGTTGGTAATGTGCCGGTGCTAAAATTTATACCGGTATATTTGATCTTCAACTTGATTTTAAATCTTAACTTTAACTAATTTAAATCCGGATGATCCGGAACAAGAAACTGAACCGAAATTGCTTATAAGTAGTTTAATTAATTTCCTTTATATTTTAGGATTTACAAATGGTTACGTTGCAGGAAATGTTTGGAATACCCTGTTTTCAAACGCTCAAAATTTAAACAAAAAATATATGAAAATTATGTCTGATATTTTATTTAGTTGTGAGAATCTTGTATTTCGTCTATCATATTTCAATGCTTTTGAAAGTAAAAAAACTTCTGTCTAAAGCAGGGTTTTCCAAACTATGTTAATAGGTATTCCGTAAAAAAATCAGAATTTACAATTAAAGTTTGAGAAATCCTGGTCTTGATACAATGATGGACATTCGACAACTTGTGCCATTTTGTGACAAATTGGCATTGCAATAGAATTAATGCAATTTCAGAAAGTTGTCTTAAGATTACACAGTTTTATACTATTAATAAATATTAAATACCTTTAAAAAATATGTCATTTATTAGAGATTAAAATAAATGCTTTTATTTATTCATGTTTATGTAACTATTGCTAGTATTATGGATTTATCGTTTACAGTATCTTTCTTATTAATTACTTTTAAACAAAAATATGGTAAATCTAGCAATTTTATGAAACTGTTCATTAAATTTTAATACTTTAATTTTTACTGGAATATAGTATTCGTACCAGTGGCGTAGCGGCTGAGTAATTTTGGGCTTGTTGCTCCCAGTTTACTTGTTTACTTTGGATAATACATGTCGAGCGGACGATATGCATCTTAAAAATTTAACGAAATATGTATTTTTGAATTCAAAAATTCTAATTCAATATTTTTTTCGTTTAAATCAAGCAGACTTGCTGAAATTTATATGTTGGTACCATAGTTACAAATATATTGTATTGCAAATTACGTAGTATCTGGCTATATTACTCAAAGAAAATATCAGTCAAAATATTTACTTCTCGCTGCGATTCAAATTACGAAAAGGTGTTAGGTAATTAATATCAACGCATGACCTTTTTGTATATTGCACGTCAAGTATTTTTCTTGTGATCGTTTATACTCGACTAATTTATCAAGTTTTGTATATGCAATGCATACTATTAATTTCATGTAAAGTATTTTACTTGTCAGAAAGTCTACAATAAATCTAATAAGTTTTCTTTATAGAAATTATATAAGAAATAGCAACTTGTTTTAATTCATTTAATACTTTATTATAGGACTAGGAAAGATTGCTAATGTTTGCCTTAAAATTAAACTTTTTAATTTTAATATATTATCAAATATATAAATGGATCGAATATCTTACATAATAATTACAGCAATGCCTCACATAGTGCGGCTATGACCTGTGCGCATTCACTGTGGTACGGTTTGAAAATTTCAAATCTAGCTAAATTGTAATTGTAATGGTCGTTTATTTTTCTTTTATACAGTTGGATATTGGCAGATTGAGTGACAGCACAATGTTAGGTATTACTGTATTATAATTACATTTTTTGTCTAATAGCAATTTTTGCAAATAATTGTTATCAGAAACGTTATCTGGAGTGGATCGTATGTCAAAGCAATTAATTGCGTGTGCCCGAAGACAGAAAATTAACGATGCGGAAGTTCCATTGTTAATTAATCTTCCTTTTCATTTTAGGTCTGCTCACTGCCGTGAACTGTCTGAGCGTAAGATGGGCGATGAGGATTCAAAGCATTTTCACCATGGCCAAATTATTCGCATTGGTTGGTATCATCATCATCGGAGTTGTTTACCTTGGTTACGGTAAGATAACTTAAATTAAATATTATTAAATAGATTAATAATCTAGCTGTCTGTATTTCAATATTAAAATACATATTAATATTTACAATAATTAAAATAAGTTAATTAATTATGAAAAACCATTTAATTGACCTATGGTCAATAGTCTTTTGCAGCACTTTCATTTCATTTCATTTTTTGTTATAATAATAATATTTATTGAAACAGAAAATTACAAAATAAAAACCTATTGAACATAGGTCTTTCTATCCGATTTTTTTGTTATTATATTAAGTTTTTTTTATTTTTGTATTTAATCAACAACAAGATGTAATTATTAGATAAACGAAAATGCGTCTTAGTAAGGTCGAATAGATTATTAAAAAAATGTTTCTATTCAGAATAACTGAATAATTGCGTGGATGCTCTTACATTCGTATACTATGACTTAATTGTTGTTTTCTTACTCGTTATTGAACATCTGGTATAATAAATGGACTTAAATATTGGGTTGTTACATAAGTTCGTTCGTTCGTATTTTCAACCTTTGTTTTAAAAAGAACTACATTCTAAAAAAAGGACTTTATTTTTAAATAATTTTGTATCTCTCTTTCATAATGTCATCTCTCTAGAAGGTTCCATCTTTATGCCCGAAAAAGCTGTCAGGTGAATTTTGATGTAATCCAAAGATTCCAATTTATTTTGTTAAGGTCATTTTGTAGAGACCGGAACAAACGGTAGTCGGACGGTCCGATGTCTGGACTATATAGAGGGTATGGTAGAATATCCCATGAAAACTCTTTCAACTTCTGTATATAAGGCCTAACATGTGAGGCCTCATACATCTGTAATCACATAAGTTGAAAACATATTCGTCGTTTATTAACGAATGCAGATCGTTTTTGGACAAGAGCTGTCACAAATTATCAAGTTGTTTACAGTACTTGACTGAAATGATAGTTTGATTTTTCGGTAGCAGCTCATAATAGACAAATAAAATTCTGGACAAGAGGTTGTTGCTGGTTTCTCTTAATGAGCTAATCAGAATCAAGCATACGCTGCTGCGTTCATTCAACACATTGAACTAACATATTATAACGATTGACGTAGCCCTCAGCATCGAGATGTTTTTGGACTGTTACATTTGACATATTGACGACGTCCGCTATCTCACGCAATGTAAAATGTTGATTTTCGTTCACTACAGTCATTATATGGGCCGTGTCAGTTGTTATAGGCCGTCTTGAGCGCTACCAAATTATAAGCTCAAATTCTCCACTTCTGAGCAGGGGTTACCACTTTTGGCCGCTTGAGTTGCGTTTTTCCTTTTCGAAGAGTATACAGCATGAAATGCCGAAAATTACAAGGCCACATTACAAGTTGTCAAAAATCCCCTCCCATCAAACTATTCACCGTCCAGTGGACGTCAACATGTGCACACAAAAATACGAACGGACTTATTTAACAACTCAAAATATAAATATATTTGAGTACTTTAAATATTATAAAGAATGTAAGAAGATTGCGGGGCGATTACCCCAATCGCATTCATCGTAGTAGAAATAGTATTGTATTTTGAGGAGAAAAGTAAATATTTAATCCCTATGATTTCTTGAAGCGGGGGCGCAAGTTTTCCTTGCAGCGGCCCGCCTAAAAGTAATGAGCGCTTAGTAAATCCCAAATAGTTATATTAAATGTTTTTATACATACTATATGTATTAATTTTATATTTCAATAGAAATTCATTTAATTAATAATCCGATATTGGAATTCGAACTAAATATTCGTTTGTTGTTTATAAACGTATTTATTCGTAGAAAAAAATGAATTAATTATGATCATTAATGATGGATCATATTTTTTATAACAAATAATGCTATGAAAGAATAATGATCTTTATTTTATAATTGAAAATATATTTAAAATGGATGAAAGTTAAATAAAAATTGTATACATGTATTTGTAGTTTTCAGTACGTTTAATTCTATAAATACCTACCTTTTAACATCTTATATCGTCCCACGTAATTTGCGTACAGTTTTTATTGTTCTAATAATATTTATTATAACATTTATTGACATTCTGTTACAGATAAATCAAGTTATATTTATTGTCTAACAAGATATTATTAACTAATAATAATATGAAAAGGTAAAAATAAGAGTTAAATAATTTAATATGTTAAACAAAAGTAGAGTTAGGTTCAATTAAAAATTACAATGAACCTCGAATATGGGTTTATTTAATGGTTTTATTGATAAATAAGTTTTTCAGGCGGTTATTTTTATATCGCACGTAGAGTGTAAAAGCTTGTTGGATTATGTAGGAGATTGTTTGTGTTGCATAATTTTGTCAAAGTCCTGAGTGCTGTTCATAAATTGTGAACACTGATTTTGAACATCTATACATAAAGACTATAGTTATGTTTATAGTGAAAGTTTGTATAGATAGTTTGTATAAAATGAACTCATTTAGAAACATTCATATTTATTAAATTGACCATAGTGATCATAAATAAAATAATTGTCATATAGAACGTATTTATAAGTATTGAAAAATATCTACTACAGTATATTAAACACAGATTTAATTTTAATTCACAAGATTTGATAAATTATAATATATTAACGAGTTTTTATAATTGGAAATTGATATCAAATCTGTGAAAACATTATGATATAACATAACTTCATAAAATGCAAATAACACTTCACTCAATAAGTTCGTAGGATAACTAATAAACAACAACTTTTGGGCCATATTCGACTTTATTCATCAACATAGTCTCCTTGAAGAGTGATACATACATTCATTCCAACGTTTCTCTAACATTTCGATACCTTTCTTGTGACACGATTTATCTTTGGTCTCAAAATACGGCTTTCACCATTTGCTGTCTACTCAGCTGACGACCGATTTGACTATGGAGTGTAGTGGTGGATACAGGTTTTATCTATTGTTATATATCGCATGAAAAAATCCTTTGAGCTTGAACGCGGTTCCCATTCCGAACATAGCTTTCTTATGATCAAATGTTTATACAAAATGGTGAATGGTGAAATGGTTCCTTCTGATATCTTCAGGATGTCAGCTATCTCACGCAACTTCAATTTACGATAGCTAACATCATTTTGTGAACTTTTTCATGTTTTTTGCAACAATTGTCTAATTTGGGCGTTGCGTTCAGCAACATTTGTGTCTGTACGACCGCGTTTAGAATCAGCAAACCACTTCTTCTTTGCCATTTGTCTCGACGGAGAGGAGTTCCCATACTACTTATCAAGCCATTTATTTGCTTCAATAGTATCTTATCAACACACGAAATTCAGATTTTTCCATTGATTTGAAAATTACAAAAGTAGCATCACTAAAACTACTGTAACTTGTGAACTAAACGTCAGATTGCCATGAAATTTTGACAGGCGTTTGAAAGTTGGTACTCCCTAAAAATCATATGGCTTTATCATAGAGGCGCAATCTATCTGTCATTAGATACCACAAATAAGAATATTGATGTGACCAACCTTTATAAGTGCAAATACACCCAAATCTATGTATTACAGAATTTTACAAAGACTCTACACTTTTTATAATAAAACCATCCAAGGCAGATTCCCGTGGGAACACTTTATAGTTTAATTTATTAATGATTGAATCAGAATTAGTTTCGAACATTAGTTATAATTAGAATGTCCATATAAATGCATTAGACTTATTTTAAATGTTAACGGAATAACATAAATCATAATACTTAGTCGAATCGGTAAGAAAATCACATTTAGCCAATGAAGTTTTTAAAATGTGAGTTACATTCAATTAATTTTGATATGATTATATAAGTAAGGGCAGAAAGACCTATCATCAATGATGGATGTATTTTTTTTCAAGAATTATATAATATCGAAATATTAAATAGAAAAGATTTATACCAAAAATGATAATTTCCATATATAAAACCATCTGCAGATGAACTTTATAAATTCCTTCATTATACATTTTTCAAGAGTTAAATGAAACCTAATAATATCTCTAAGAAAAATTAAACGTCATTCACATAATATGTGCTATAGATAAAAATGTAAAAAGTAATTCTGAGAACATATGTAGTGAAATAATAAATATTTTTTATATAAATCATTAAGAGGTATGAGACATGTTGTGTATTGCCGTTATTTAATCCCAATTTCCTGAACCAAAGGACATTGCCCTTCGTTAAAAATATTCTGTTATAACATAAATACTATTTTTTTTTTAATTTTAATTAAAATATCAACCAATTGTATCGATTGGAAATTTTAAATCGATAGATAGCATATATTAATTCAGAAAACGTGATGTCTAATTGATTTGTAAAACAATTTTAAAAGTTATATCGACTTTTACATTTACCTTTCTCCTTGGGACACACCTGAATAATAAAGTGATGCAAGGGCTATGGTATTTTGAAGTAAATTTGATGGCATTTATTGATTTAAATTTCTACTGGTTTTTATAAATTATAAATTTTAAATTAAGTAATTTTATTGTAGTCATCATATCGAAATTTAGAATTTATGTACATAAATTACATAAAAATGGAAAGGAAAAAAAATACGGGGTGTGTTTTGTAATCATACAAATATACAATTTCTATCGCTGTTAAAATCTCACAAATTCCGTTTTTTTTTTAGAATAATATTGTTCATACTAAATATATTATGTAAATATAAATAGTATACACATAACGAGACTAAAAATGAATTGTTTCATAATTTTTTATTTTGCATGCATTTTATGAATGAATTTTCTGTTTTTCTATATAAAATTAATATTTTATTTATGTAATCAATTATTCTCTAACTGAAAATATGTTACAAAATCAACAATCAAATTGAATGTTGCCTCAAATTCATTACACGTGGAAATAGAAAAATCTTCGTAAAGCAAATTTATAGGTTTTTTATTCTTATAAACAGAGGAATCTGCCAGGAAGAATTTCGATTTAGCTTAATAGCATTTATCTTTATCCTGGATTCCATCAAAATTACACATTTCATCAAAAGTCTGACAATCAATAAGTCGTTAGTAATACTTATTATTAATTTAATGATAATCATCATAATTGTGTCATTCTAATCTAAAACAATATTAAGATACTAATATTTGATGAATAGAATAAATTTGTAAACTTTAATGTTCAGATATTTCTAAAGTTAAAAATGATAAATTAGCAAAAATAGACATTGCATTTTAGAAAAATGTTTCTTTTCAATTGCAATTAAACCTTTATGCATATAAAGTTATATTTAATTCTGCTCGATAAAGTCAAATTATTTTGTTCGTTATACGAATTATTTGTTATTAAAAAAATTGAAAATATTCTGTATATATCATTTCATTTCTGTATGAATGTATACAAAAATATTTATATGAAATATTTGATTAATTTCATATCATGTACTGAAATTATATTGTAAAATATTTTCATGTATACAATATTTAAGCTCATGGGTTTGCATCAGATTGTAAGCACACATAATTTGGGTCGATCAGCTGTTTGCTAAACTAATTATACATTAATTGAAGCGAATCCCGGCTTGGTAATCATATAAAATCATTTGAATATATCTAAGTATTACAGTGAGCTTTCTAATTAGTATGCTCTGTATTCATTTGATTGAAGAACAATTACAAAAAGGGATTCATCAATTGAATTATTTACCCGTATTTAGTAATGTTAATGAAATTTCAGTTACTAAAATTATTGTATATGTATAATGTTATAATATCAACTCTTCTTTACTAAAGTAAGGATATATTCCAGTGCGCAGTAAATTTTTGAGTTGAGAAATACTGATCTAGAAAATCATAATTTATTGTATACGAAAATGTTTCAAAAAGTAGGTACAAATATTTTGAATATAATTAAGAATTCTTACAATACATTTGTATGTAGATTTGAATATTATGTATATAATTAATGATTATAAACTAATAAATATTTTAAAGATGAAAGTATTATACAAATAAGATATGATATATAAAGTTGAATTTAAAATAACAGATCCTGAAATGATTTGTGTAGTTAGAGTAGGTATTGAATTTCTTAATACGACGATTACGTCAATTATATATGGTCAATTATATATGGTTAAATGTATATTTCCTTTGAAAAGTGTAATCTGATTAATACCTGTTGATAAAATCCTGACGTCTTGCGAATAATAATTGAGTAATATAGATTTTCGGCAAGTAAATAAACTTAAACATCATCTTTAGAATATATAATACAAAAAGTCATTTTTGAAAAGCTATTTGAAATAATTAATATAAATCTATTACTATAAAATATATCAATGTGTATTATATTAAAATCATAATACTTACGTGGGGTTTAACAAAATTTCGCTAAGTTGGCATTAATTCATTTGTTTCAGAAAAACAAAAGTTGTTTCTCAATTTGTTAAAGTCTAACGATATTTCATGTCAAATTTTAAGAAGATCGGTAAGAATGGATAAGAGAAAATGCAAGATTACTGATGAAACGAAGGTAGAAATCCCACCAATAGAGCAAAAATTTGTTTTGTCATTCTCTACAGATTTCAACGTCAACTCAATCCTATGCAAATTTTCCAGTATTTATATCAGCTTTTGCTTTAAGTCGGTATTTGTAAAATAAATAATTGTCTTAAATCGTTAATTATTTTTTCTTTTAATTATGATATAGGATTCAATCATCCACAATAATTAATGGTACTTTATTGTTTTAAACGAGTGACATTGATCAATATTATTAATATAATGTAATATATTTTAATTAAAATAGGATTATTTTTATGTTTTACATTTATTAATATTTTGTTTCTTCAATATTATAATTTATGTAAACAATACATGAAATATATAGACTCATTAACATGAATATATTTATTATGAATGCATGCTAAGTTTAGCATTAAATTACTGTTACAATATGATTAATTTATTATTTTCTAATTGTATCAAACAGTTTACAATTAATTATTATTTATTTTAATGCATATATTGTTTACATAATTATGAATAATTTAACATTATCTTAATTATTATGTTAGTAATTAATTGTGTTATAATATAGTATTCCATATGTATTACATATAGTTATCATTGTTAAATTATATTATATTGATATTTTGCTTCTACTGTTTTAGGAAAGGTTGAGAACTTTGAGAACGCGTTCGAAGGTAATTACGAGCCCGTCGATCTAGCCTTAGCCTTCTATTCCGGACTATTTGCTTTTGGTGGCTGGAATTTCCTTAATTTCGTAACGGAGGAGTTGCAAGATCCTTACAAGTAAGCCTTCTACATATATCTCCTATGAACTACAGTTACGTTTGGCTTAGAGGAAGAAAAGTTAATATCATATAATTATGTAGATCGTTTGAACAAAGAAAACGCGCAGAGTATAATGTATTTTTCTTGAGACTTTCGCCAAGTCTTTCAACCGTAAATTATATGTTCTTGAAAACAGTTACAGTCCATAACATTCAGATACTTTAATAATTTATTTAACATTCTTCATATATACACACAATTTGTTTAAACAATTAAATATTCAAATATAAAAGTTTCTATTGTTTTATATTATATAAAATGTTATAGTTAACCTGTTTATATATTTTACATGATAATTTTGAAATTTAAAATGGATAATTTGATTTTCTTTCTGATATCTTCTATCTCTTATCATATCATATTAACATATCATTTTTAAACCATCTTACAATTTATTATTGGATTTTTCAACTTTATCTCTTCTTCTATCTTTTATTTTAATTACGTGTAGATACAAAGTTTTCTACGTAACGTTGTGTGTCCAAAGTAGTCCAATCGTATAAGAATCACGGACGATCTGCAGAAACAGCAAAACTCACTCGGGAGAAAAGTGTGCGGATAGAATGAAATGTTTAATTCAAGGATTCTTTCGTCCATTTTAATCCCAACACAATCCATTACGAGCAGACAAGGGAGAAGGATATATATCGTACGGCATTATTCTGCGGCCGAAGAAGGAATCAATATACTTGTTGAATGCGGCCTGGCAAACATCAATTAAAGCGAAATTTCTTGCTTTCAGGAACCTCCCGAGAGCGATCTGGATTGCCATGCCCATGGTCACTGTAGTATACGTATTTGCTAACATCGCTTATTTCGTCGTCCTTTCCAAAAGCGAAATCTTAAGTTCTCCCGCCGTTGCAGTGGTAAATAAATATATTTGATTATGTCTGCCTGCAATCGATCTGCGATTTATTCCTTTGATAGACATTTGCAGATAAAACTATTGGATCTTTCTCTTGGGTCGTACCGATTTTCGTGGCATTATCGACGTTCGGTGGAGTAAATGGGATTCTCTTCACCTCCTCCAGATTATTCTTCATTGGTGCCCAAGAAGGACACTTGCCAAATTTCTTTTCTTTTATTCATATGACAAGGAATACTCCCATTCCGTCTTTACTATTTACGGTAAGTTTTTAATAAATATAAATTGTCATCCAACTTTTAATTGTTACTACTTTTAGTGCGCAACATCCTTAGCCATGCTTCTAGTTAGTGACGTGTTTGCTCTCATTCATTATTTCAGTCAAATATTATGGCTTTCAGTTGCACTAAGTATAGCTGGAATGCTTTGGTTGAGATATAAGGAACCAAATATTCCCAGACCGATTCGCATAAATACGATTATACCAGTCACATTTATTGCTTGCTGCCTTTTCCTAGTTATATTCCCAATATTCTTCAACCCCATCAACTTTATAATCGGATCAGTGATAACGCTATCAGGTAAGTGACATATCTCTCTTTGTTATATATTTATATACAACCTTTTTTCTTTTTTTAGGAATTCCTGTTTATTACTTATTTGTCGTTAAGAGGGAAAGCAGAAGTCCTAAGTTAAGACTTATAGGAGATAAATTGGTGTTTTTTTTGCAAGTTGCTATGGAATTGACCCCATCTGAAGCTGAAAAAAGATTGTCCAATGAATAATAAAACAGGAAAAATAAATATTTATTTATATTTGCAAACTACAAATACTCGCTTCGGTTTATAATTATTATAATTATATTGTTTAATAAAATATGAACACATGTAAACATATTTATATTTTTAACCCCTATTTAAAACTGATAACATAAGTGATATATATGGTGATATTAATGTCACAAAAGCAATATTTAAACAAAAACTGTATAAAATTGTTGTGTTAAATATTATCTATGACATTTCTCTAAAAAATAGGCATTTCTCTAATACCTCTTTCGTAAAATTCTGTTGATTTTAATTTATATATGACTCCAACTGATTTCAAACTTGTTCAACATTTGTATTATTTTTCCTTATATTAACACAAATCTTCTCATAAAACACAATTCTAATATGAAATGCCGACTGTATCGACATCCCGGCGTTTAAAATCCCGACTATATCGGAACTTCGATAAACGGTCTTTCGGTGTTCGACAATCAAAATCCCGACTATATCGAAATCCCGACTACCATAAAAATGTTATTGTATAAATTTATAATAATATAAGTCGGGATTTTGATTGTCGGTATTTTGGTAGTCGGGATTTTGAACGTCGGGATTTCTGTTGTCTGGCTTGCGATTGCCACCGACCCGTAATATATATTAAAATCCATACAGGCAAATTTAACTGTTTAATCAAAACCAAATCGATTAGTTCTTAATGAAATATGTGGAAGTCATTCTATATATATATTTTTTATTCCTGCTGGGTATAGGGTGTATAATAGATTTTTAATGTTGGTGAGATTGGATTGGAATCTGTCACCTTTCATATCAAATTTTATCTAAAATTGTATAATCTCAAAGTCACACTAAGCTGCACTAAACATGGCAAGTTTTATACTTTGGTGAGTTAATGGTTTCGAACCTTTGAAATTATTTTGGGAGTTTCAGATTTTGGTTTACTTGGATTAAATTGATTAAAGAGAGAATATGTTCATCCTAGGACACCCATGCCTTTTGCGCCGCCTTCAGCACGTGCAGTGCTAATTATGTCTGTGACTAACTTCGTGAATGTTTATATATAAGAGGTATATGTAATCAATACAAATTCTGACATATTATGAACGTTTCTAACTCAAATATATTAATCCAATTTTGAAACTACAAATTAAAAGAAAGAAATTCAAATGGCAGAATTGAAGGTAAACGGAGTTAAGTATAATGTAATAGACACATATGGTTTACTGCTGGAAGAACAAGACTATACGCCACCACAAATACAAGTGATTGAAGCAATCGTTGTTGAGGAAGAAGACGAGAAAAAGTTTGTTCTGTATTGTGTGCAAGTGCGTCACGTCGTAAAAAGGTCTGGTTGCATGCAGGCTTGCATACACAGAAGATACACACAGTTCCTAACACTGTATCAGCAATTATCCAATATGTTTCCAAACTTGATGTCTGAAGTAAGTTTTCCAAAGAAAGCTGTTGTTGGAAACTATGATAGAAAATTGATATCTGTACGAAGCAGCTCATTTGACATGTTCCTACAGTATGTACTCAGCAATGAACGTTTATATGGTACTAGAGAATTTGTACAATTCATACAGGATTCAGAATTATCATATGCAAAAAATCTGATGAGTATTAAAAAGTATGATGAAGCATTACCTGTTTTAGAAGGTAGCCTGATGGTACTGAATAATATTTACACTGACCGATCTCCACCAGTATTGTTGGCTTTGTGCAGACTCATAGCATGTTCTTGCTTATTGCCTGGATCTCCACAGGCTGACAAATGGACTGACTTAGCAATTAAAAGATTTGAGGGTGTCAGTGATGGAGATTTATTAATTCTTTATGTGCCATTGCTTCATCTTGCTCTTGGAGTTTGGGGACACTATGATCTGGATAAAACAATGATTCAAAAGAGATTAAGTGATTTAGTACAAATGGGCATCAATTGTAATGCTTCTATGAATCTTTTGGAAGCTGTATGTTTTGTCGAGCTGAAGCTATTTGGAGATAGGGACATGTAAAGAAAGTATTGATATTGCCAAATAATCTTTGAGCTCTAAATATTCTTATACTATATAAGTATTGAATCTCATTGATAATTAATTAGCCAAATATTTTATTTATTTTTATAATACTATGTTAAAGATTTAATTTGGAATGTTTACATAAATATTTTATGTGATTATGTTGCAAGCTAATACTCAGTGAATTGTAAATTAAGTTTTAATTTTAATAATAAACTTGATATCAATTAATAAAACTTATTATATAAATATGACATAGATATTTAGAATTAAAATTTATAAAAAAGTTTATAATATTGTGAATCACATTGAAGATTTTGAAACCAAATATGTTTTTTTTTAAACTAATTTTCAGATATTAGCTAATTTAGTTATAAATGGAATAAAATATTTGTATTAATGCTTAATTTAACATTTTAAAATATAATATTTACTACTAATTATGAATGTAGTTACCTACATTTGCATAAAGAATACTCATGTCAGTATTTTAATTTTGAATGAGATTTTATGATTTACTTTATAATTATTTAAAATATGGTTTTGTTTGTGATATTTATTATATGACTGTATTATATTAGCAGGGTTGTAACTGTAGTCATAACTTTAACGAATTTAAATAAACTGCTATAAGTATTACACAAATTAATATTTTTGTACATTATTTTCTATTTAATTTTTATAGTGAATACGTCTTTTAAAAGGTTTGTGGTGTTGTTAGTTATATTATTTCAATTTACTGGAAAGAAAATATTGAACGTGTAAAAAACTCAAATTCGGATTGACTAATTGTACCAGTGCGTTTCTCAATATTTAATGTTGACAATATATTTTATATTGGAACTTGGGCTATATTCAATAACTATTTTAAGACTAAACATTTTACTATACTAATTATGAAAAATATTTCAATAAAATAGACTGGAGTGTCTAAACAAGGGGTCACCACAGTTTATTGACTTACAACCGCTTCACATGTTTCTTGATTTTATTAGTATTATATTACAATCTACAAAAAAGACGAAACATAACAATGATCATTTAATTAATGTCTGCCAAGTTGAAAATCTAATGAAATATTTGCGATGGATCTTTGAGCCCGAATCGATATAACAATGTTTAATTTGGCTTAAAAGCATGAATCCTTTCTTTTTTTCTCTAACGAAAAATACTGAATTTTATAATTTTATTATTTTTAACTTCAGTGGCATGACTACAATTTAACATTCACTATTGTTTTATATCTTTGAGGACAGAAATAAACTTTTGAAAGAATTTTGTGAACAAGATAACAAGAAATATTCTTTATCACGGATAATTATTTTTATTTTATTATTTGATTTTAAAATACGTATAATAATTATTATTATTATTATAAATGTTAAAATAACTATTATTGTGAATTTGCTACAGCCAAACAATAGTCACAATTAAACAAATAGTTAAGCATTTATTTCTATGTAAAATCTAAAAAGACTGGACCAAGTCTCATTCAGTCCTGCAACTAAGTTGCATACGTTTCTTCCTTTTAGAGTGGAAGATAATAATGTTTATCTAGTATGTATTATGTGCGTATATGCAACCAAATTATCTATATCCCCCACTCTTAAGAAAATTCTGATTGCCGCCAAAATAAACGAATATTGTCTTGTGTTGCATAGAATTTTGAACTTGTATATTATAACAACGTTATTCCAACTGTTAATTTCATTGTGAAAAGTTCTTACAAATCTAAACATGTCACGAAGGGATTATGAAAAGGACAAAGGTAAATACTTAATATAAAACTACAATTTCTTTAGTATTATCTAACCTTTAATATTAATATTTGTTTTTATTTTAAGAGTCTTTAAAGACTTTTTTTATGGAGTTTTGTATCCAAGATGAATCAGGCTCCAAGAATTTTAAATATTCCAATCAGTTAACAAAATTAGCTCATCGAGAACAAACTGAGATGTATGTTGAATTAGATGATGTACATGATTTCAATGATGAGTTATGTGATTCCATTAAGAATAACACTCGACGTTATACCAGTATGGTTTCGGATATTGTACAAGAATTGTTACCACAATTCAAAGAACATGATATTATTGCTAAGGATGCATTGGATGTTTATATTGAGCATCGACAGATGATGGAGAACAGAATGAGGCAACCAAATGAAGCTAAATCTACAAGCAACCAATTTCCACCTGAACTTATGCGCAGATAGTAAGTATCCATATTTGAATTTTTTAGACTTGATTAATAACATATTTATTTTACAGTGAAATTTATTTCAAAGATAGTACTCTCAGTAAAACACAGCCTATAAGGGATGTTAAAGCTGTACATATTGGTAAATTGGTAACAGTAAGAGGTATTGTTACAAGAAGTACTGAGGTGAAACCCATGATGTGTGTAGCTACCTACACTTGTGATCAGTGTGGCTCAGAAACTTATCAACCAGTTAATTCCCTAAGCTTCATGCCATTGACTATGTGTCCAAGTGATACATGTCGCATCAATAAATCAGGAGGTCGTTTGTATCTTCAAACCAGAGGTTCAAAATTCGTCAAATTCCAGGAAGTCCGAATTCAAGAACACGTAATGTTTAAACTATTTACTATATTTATCATATTTAATTTTCATTATATAATTTCAGAGCGACCAAGTTCCAGTTGGACACATTCCACGATCATTGACGATCTTTTGCAGAGGTGAAGTTACTCGTAAAGCTTTGCCTGGTGATCATATTGCAGTCACGGGCATATTCCTACCTTTGATTAGGACAGGATTCAGACAGATTTCGGGTGGATTATTGTCTGAAACTTATTTGGAGGCGCATCGCTTGGTTTCCCTTAACAAGGCTGCGGAAGACGAAAGTGCCTCTGCTTCATTGACTTCGGAAGAATTACGAGAGCTTACTGAAGACGATTTTTATACTAAATTTGCCATGTCTTTGGCACCTGAAATCTATGGCCATTTAGATGTTAAAAAGGCACTGCTCTTGTTGTTAGTTGGTGGTGTTGATAAAAGACCCGATGGCATGAAAATCCGTGGAAATATAAATATATGTCTTATGGGTGATCCCGGTGTTGCTAAATCGCAATTATTGGGATACATAGATAGGTTGGCTCCGAGGAGTCAATATACAACTGGAAGAGGTTCTTCGGGCGTCGGTTTGACAGCAGCTGTCATGAAAGATCCATTAACCGGAGAGATGATGCTCGAAGGTGGAGCTTTGGTCTTGGCCGATCAGGGTGTCTGTTGTATTGACGAATTTGACAAAATGGCTGATGGTGACAGAACTGCTATCCATGAGGTCATGGAACAGCAAACAATTAGTATTGCTAAGGTTATTATATTATGAATTACAACTTTGAATATTGACTAATTATTAGTTTTTAGGCTGGTATTATGACTTGTTTGAATGCTCGCGTCTCGATTTTGGCTGCAGCTAATCCAGCGTATGGTCGTTACAATCCGAAAAGAACAATCGAACAGAACATTCAGCTGCCAGCAGCTTTACTTTCGCGTTTCGATTTACTTTGGTTAATCCAAGATAAGGCAGACCGCGACAATGATTTGCGCCTAGCCAAACATATCACCTATGTACATCAGCATTGTAAGCAACCACCAATGCAAATCCAGGCATTAGATATGTCTGTTATGAGGAAGTATATTGCTTTGTGCAAACTCAAAGATCCTGCAATCCCAGAAGATCTTACCGAATTTATCGTTGAGGCATATGTAGAGTTACGCAAAGAAGCTCGCAATTCCAGAGATATGACATTCACATCTGCCCGTAATTTGTTGGGTATTTTGCGTTTGTCTACCGCGTTAGCGAGGTTGCGTTTATCCGGTATTGTGGAAAAGGACGACGTGAATGAGGCTATTCGATTGATGGAAATGAGCAAAGACTCCCTCAATCAAAACGTGGAGACTAAAGGATACAGGCCACCGAATGTCCATGATAAGATCTTTGGCATTATCCGTGAGATGGCCGGGGAGAGTAAGACAGTCAAGTTATCCGATATTGTTCCGAAATGTGTTGGGAAAGGTTACAAACCCCATCAAATTGATGATTGTATTGAAGAATACGAAGAACTCAACGTCTGGCAGATAAACCAGACTCGAACGAAAGTTACATTTATTTAAATAATCATTCTTATTATACTTTTTCAATGTTCATTCTTATACAATTTTTGTATTTTTAAATAAAATTATTTCCAAATATTAAAATAGATATATTTATTGTTTATATTAAAATTATTAAAAAATGGTAATACATATACAATACAAAATAATATTGAAGAATAAATTAATGGTATCACAAATATTAAAAATAAAAATTAAAACGTTTCTTGACACTATCAATTTCGTATATACTCTCGAACAGATCATAGTTACAAATAGGAATGTCATCTGCAAGATTGTCAAAATCCAATTTATTATATAACTCCTTCATCACCTTAAAATATTGAAAAGGTTCTTTTATTTTTGCATCGAACATTTCCTGTATTTCTTTAATTTCGGCAAGGGTCATCTCGTTAATGAGAATGAAGCAATATAATTGTGGATTGTTTAATAAGAATTTTCTTAAATTTGGCAATCTCAATTTCGGCCCTCCAATGCCATAGCTCACAAACAATCTACGCAGTTTTGTATAGGAATTTTCTTGGAATTCCATAAATAAACGAGACAAATTCAAGGGATATGCTGTCGTGTAACTGAAATATATATGTTAATAATTTAAGTAGAATATCTTAAAAAAATATATGTTACCTAAAATCTTCCAATGCTTGAGCCATTTTTAGGTGAATCATATTAATCTGGGCATTTTCATTTTTGATCTTCAGAAACTTCAATTTTGGGCAATTGGCAAATATCTGAAATGATTCGAGTTATTTTATAGATCAAATTTAGATATGCACATTACCGGTTCTAAAAAGTTGGCGCCTAAGTGAACCATCACATGTATATCTAATTTCACTAAATTCGGAATATATTTTAGAAGATCCAATCTTAACAGCCTTACATCCGATCTAAAATTATATCCGTGGATTATTAGTGATAAATACTTATAAATATAAACAAATTACGATGTTCTGTCGGGTTTTATCAATAAATGTATCACATTTCTATAACTAATAAATCTAGAAATAAGATTTTCATCTGGACCTTAAAAAATATTAATTAATAGTACTATTTTGATTATAAAGGATATGTATATTCCAATTTACCAGAAAAACTTTTCTCGCTGATTTGTTTAATGCAAGCAGTCTCTTTATATCTAGTATCAAATATGTTCATATCCAATTTGCTGGTAGAAAATTCCATTGCTGTCTGAAGCCAATTGCAATTGTAAATATTTTGGCCGTGAGAACCGTAAGACATATTTTTCTTAGCTACTATGTAGCAAACCTAAATGCATTGGATGAATATATATCTACATATATATATATATACAAACCTCGAAATTATCCCAAAGCTGATATGTGAAGTACTTATTATGGCAATAGAAACAATCTAAATTCATTTGTTTAAATGCTGAAATATTTGTTTTCATAGTTATTGTGCCATATTAGTGTATAACAATCAGTATGTTTACCTGGATCCATTCTCTGATAATTTTTTTTTTTTTGCGTCAAGCCCAAAACCTTCATCTAGAAATATTTTAGATTAAAATAGAGATGACATTACAAAAATGTTCTTACTTTATTCAATTCCAGATAAAGTTTAACGTTAGCCTTCGTTAAATCCATCTTGGTATCGAAGAGCAACAACGTTTTCAAATGTACACATTTTCTGATTCCACTTCGAATATCAGCAGTTGAAATCCAGTGAATGCCGGTCATGTTTAATTCTGTTACATTTCCTAATTGAGAGTTTTTTAATATATGTTTTAAAAATGTTGAATCTATCCGATTATCATTCGAAAGGTTTAATTTGCTGGAAGAAATATATTTATTATAAATGATAAAGAAGTATTTACAGCTAAAATGGCACTCATGTAGAACTATGGAAATACTTAGGTCAACAGCAAGATGAAAATCTCCTAACATATATTATTGCAATTAAAATGTTAAGTATATTAATATCTCGCATAGTGTGGGTAAACGGTTTCACCAATAAACAGCACAAAATGAGTATTATAGTCTATACAGAGAAAAACGATAATTTATGTATATATAATTATTTCCTGAACTATTTTTTTATCATTTATTTTTAATTTGCTCAATTCAAATTTAATTTATTTAGAAATTTTCAAACCATACTAATATAGTTCCGGGTATCTCAAACTTTGTTCCGCGGATAGTTAATAGGTGTTCCGTGAAAACCTATTTATTGGCCACATGACCAAAAGTTATGGAGGTTTGTACATGATGACTGGAAAACGTATACATTCTACAACCATCAGATCATGTATTCAAATTGTAACTATATATAATTCTTGAATAAGAAAAATAATAAATTACTTCAATCGAATCGTTTGTTGCTAGGAACAGAAAATCAACAACATTTTTTTTTTAATTTTGTAATATTAAAGTTGTTTTTTTGTATAAAATGTGAAATAACACAAGGATTGTTGGAAATAACACCAGTCATGAAACAGTAAACAGTGGATAAAACTGTAAAGGTGTGTAAATTAATCCTTTAATATTTTTTTTTAAACGTGGGACATGATTTGGATTTTTCATTTCTCAATACATTTCAGGACACTTGCTAACCAAAAATACCCTGATACCCTATGTATCAAGTTAATAGTGAGATGCAACAAACTGTAAGGCGCATTAAAAGTTTTTCGTAAAATGGTCATAAGACACATTTCCATCGCAACTAAAGTAAATATTAGAATTTACTCTTTGTTTTAATTGAGCATCATTCTATTTCATCTATTTAAGAACCGCGATTTCTTAAGATTTTAAATTAGAATAATAATAATAATTATGATTGCAAAAGCAAAATTACAAAATAAAAAGTCAATTGCTGCAAATTTGATATTTACTAAAATCTTATATAATAATAATATTTATTGACCAGACTTCAATTATAAACAACAAAACGCACATCCTATAAATCAATGCAAAATATAATAACAATAATGACAACCAAACAATAACAATTCTGAACAAGAGAGAAAAAAAATCTAAAATGAAAAATAATCAAGGCTGGTCAAAAAAATCTTATTTATTAAAAAATAGTTTTTTCTTAAATAAATTAAAGAGTTTTTACTAATAACTTTTCAAATAAACTATTGAAATAAATAATAAATATATGTTTTAGTTGACAATTTATTTTTATATTAAAGCACGTTTTGTACAAATAACATACTAAGCAGTGAGACGAACGACCAAAGAAAAGTTTATTGAAAAATATTTTTCAATTAAATTATAAACGATCCCTGTTTGAAAAGACTTCGCAGTTCTATGGTCCAAAATAGGCCAACAACAATTCTGAAATAAATAATTATTTTTTACTAATTTTTATTTGCCCTAAACTGGGCCAAATATCTAACAACAGAAGTCTTTCTCCACATAGAGATAAATTAAAATAACTGCTATTATTTGAACAACACACCTTGTTGCTGTATAGCAGTGATTCTCAAACGTTTTGGTCCGCGACCCCCTTTCAACATAAAAAGTATCTGCGACCACCATTTGGACATAAAAAGTTTTTGCGACCCCTCGAAAAATGGGTATGCGTAGAAAACAACCAGAATTGATCTATCCATTATTTTTTGCGAGCCACACTTTGAGAATCACTGCTGTATAGGTTAAGATTTATATATATATATAAAATAATTAATTATACTTACTTGCTTGTATAGAATGTGCTTTGTGTACAAAAATATGCATCTAAATTGCTTAGATAACTGCATATAATATTAATTAATTCCTTAGGTAAAAGCGACAAATATGTTCCTTCCATTGTTATTTTTTTAAAACTAATATTTAAAAAAAATAACCTATAAAATTTGACGTGTTAATTGTACATAGTAAAAGAAAAACAACTAAATGGAAGAGGCTCCTCCTAGAGGGAGGTAGCAGGTGGAAGCAAAAAAAAAAAAAGAAAAACATTAGAAGAGAATTTAAAATTTCGTTCTGAAATATTAACTTATGTTTAATATTAACTTACGTTATATGTTTAAGAAAACGAATACGATGATATTTATATTATAAGTTTGTGTATGTAAAGTTGCCTATAATAAATACATAAACTGAAATATTTTAACATATGATATTTTGTGTCATACTTATTTTTTATTGTCATTTAATAGCATAAAATACACGAAATTATTTTTCAAACATTCTCATTTGTTTAAATTTAGTCTGATTTTTCTTACTGTAATGAACATTTTGAATATTTTCAAGTACACATTTACAAATTATTCACTGCTGACTTTCCGCCTATTTCAAAAATATTGAGTTCTAATGTTTGGTTTTATATTTTAAATAATTAAAATGTATATTAATTAAGTAATTTTTGTAAATTTGCCAAATGTAAGTGCGACTTGTTACCGGATTTCTTAGCCGTGAAAGTATTTTATTAAACAAAGCAATCTTAAAACTAACTTAAATATCAGATATTTAAAAATTATACTAATAGTACTAAAAATACTGATTATATTGGTTCAAAAGAATATTCACACAAATAATGTTATGAACGTCCTGGAAAATCTAATCGTTTTCAAATTCGGGACAACTGACAACCTTAGGATTTATTGATCGAAAGTTATATTCTCCCTGATTTTGTCATTGAAAGGATGCTTTTATTCATTTTCGCAACCAATATGTGCTGTATAAATTTACCATCTCTATTTTTATATGAGAAAAAACAGAATTTCTTTCTTATTATTTTTTTTATACATTATAATATTTCTCGTGTAGTAATTTATTATTTTTTTCATCGTCTTGCAAAACACTCGAAGTAACACCAAGTTACTGGCAATGTAAGTTTACTGGCTCTGTACTAATTATAAATATTTTAATTAATTAAATATGTTTAATATTGGTGAATTCGCCGGGGTTCTGTCAATGTTCAATTTTGATCTTGAAGTTCTTTATATTCGGCGTGTTGAAAACGAGAGTAGAGCTTTATTTATATTGATGGTTTTGTTTATTATGTATTTGTTTATTTGAAAAAATAATTCGGAGTATTCAAAGAGACTTCGTGGATGTCACTTATACATTGTTTGTTTATATACATGAAAGAAAACTATTATGAATTAATTTAATGAAAAAAAATTGAACTTGAACTGAATTCGGTTCGGTTCCGGTTCGACTCTCTGATTATAACATTGCTATTCTTAAATTATAAGTTTAATTTTATATACATTTTTTTATTAATATTTGATTCAATATTTTTTGTTATCACAGACTGAAAGAGCAAAGTGGATAGGCCGTCAACAGGTTCATTTCCATTTTTTTATTAACTTTTCATATCGAGTTTTTGTTTTATATATTTATTTTGTTTATGAGTTATAATTTATATTATTTTGTTTCTTATATACAGTTGTTTCTTCCTTTTCAAGGTTTATAGTTTTTGTAATGTATATGCTATAATATATTGTAATTATTTGTTAGATTTAAATTTTTTGTCAGAATTAAAGATTTTTCTGTATTTTGAAATAATAAAAATTATTGTTAGTTTTCAATATACTACTTCGTCGTAGCAGCGTTATGTTAATATTTAAATAAATAGGAATTATTACTTCAATTTTATTTCTACATTTATATATAACACCTTACTTAATAAGTTCGTAGGATGATCAAAAAAACAACAACTTTTGGGCAATATTAAACTTTCAAATCATGTGGCTATCATCCATTGCTGTCTACTCAGCTGACGACCGATTTGACTCTTGACTGTGGTGGTGGATTCTATTGTTACATACCGCATGAAAAAATCTTTTTATTTCGCATGAACAGCTCCAAACAGCGCTCGGAATTATCAACTCGTTGTTGTTTTAGGTCCACTCATGTAAAATGGTGAATGCGCTGCCTTCTGATATCTTCAAGGTATCAACTATCTCACTCAACATCAAGTTACGATCGGACAAAACCATTTTGTGGATTTTTTTTATGTTTTCTGCAAAAATTGCCGAATTTGGGCGACATCAGTGGGATGCTGATTTTAAACCACCATTTGTCTAGACGGAGAAGAGTGCCCATAACACTTATCAAGCCATTGCTTTGCTTCAACGGTATTTTTTCCCATCAAAAACTAATGTTTTATCAACACACGAAATTCAGATTTTTCCATTGTTTTGAAAATTACAAAAGTAGCCTCACTAAAACCACTGTAACTTGTGAACGTCAGATTGTTATGAAATTTTGACAGGCGTCGTCTGAAGCTTGGTACTTCCTGAAAATCATATGGATTTTTTGATAGACATATACATGTATGTAATTCTACGACTTTATTTTAATTTAGGTCATTTATTTTATTTCTTGTTAATTTTGAGATATCTTGTAAGATTCACTATGTAATAGCAATTATATTTTACGACAAACTGCTAAATAGTATAAAACATAAATAAAATAATTTACTAATCAATAATTTTAAATCCAATTTTCTACTTTACACTATATTTATTCTGAATAGTGTTTATACATATAATATATGTAATTCTCTTTTATATTTAATAAAATAATTTTTTGATTTATATATACTTCAAAATATTATAATAATAATTTATTGTCCAGATAAAAAGGCTTTTTGCCCGATGATTTAGGAAATAAATATCAAAATTTAGATATGAAATTCGTTTTTGTTTATGTTTATTTATTTATATAGAATTGTTAAACTTTTTTTATTATTTTGGAATATTTATTTTAGATTTCTGTTTATTTTTATCTAACCAATAAATAAAAATAATTAAATTAAATATGATAATAAGTGACATTTATTAACGACCGACTTTATTAATTTATTATTTATATTTATTAAGATATTGATATTTAAATATTCTTTTTATTTGATAGATTTTTTTAACATGTTTTGACGTATTTCAAGATTATTTTATTTATTATTTGATATATGGTTTCGTAATTAAATAATGTTTGTAATACCTATATTTATTTTAATTGTTTTCTATAAATCTGTTAAATAAATGCATCTTAGTAAAATTTATTGTCCTGATATGCATACTTAATTTACTTATTTATATATTTGTCTGTACGTTTCGTAATTGATCCGTCATTGAAGTCAACTGGAATATGAATATTATGTAAATGGTCCGATAATGACGTTTAATCCAGAGATTCAGTGTAGTGTTTATTACCAGACCGACGGCATTAAAGTATCCGTCATAATGAATTCATAGAATACATATTGTGTGTACAATTAATTACAGCACGGAAATATGTTGACATTAAGTAATGAAGCACATTTGAAGCCGACCAAAACAAAAATATTCAAATGGAATCACTTTGGGCCTTTTTACATTTCAATTAGAGCTCCCTTCTGCGTCTACTGTCATTCTCGGTGCAGTAAATTAATGAAATGTTAAATAAGAGCGTGGAAAACCGGTCTCTCAGAGTGTACGAAAGCAGAAAAACTATCGAGATAAATGCCTGAATTCGTACAAAACTTTTGTAATAAATGTTAATTACGGACACACAGACGCACATACTTGGGTGGAAATTACGGACGATAACAAGAACAGCTTCAGAACAAAACAAATCCCTCCGTTGAAATTATCGAATTAGTGAGGTTTTTTTTAATGAGGCGGCTTGTAATTAAAGAGCAAAGGAGGACCCCTCTCTTCCATTGTTTAATTGAAGCATAAATTAAAAGGCACAGCCGCAAAAGCAAATTATAATTCCCTGCTTCGCGTTGTTTCCTCTTCGTTTATTTCGCTTTCCCGGTTATTTTGTTTTGTTCGATAAATTTTAATTAATTGGATCTTTCGGAGAGCAGAGATGCTCTCCGGCCGAGGGCAAGAATGATTCTGAATGATTCCGGTAAATTCAGAACCGAAGAACTCCCTTGATCCCACTTGCCGGCCAATTGCATTCCGAGCTCTCCGCTCTTCAATTGAAATGGCGTTTAATGAAAACGCCTTTATTCGCTTCGGGTGATCGCAATATACATATATACATGCACAACATAATATGCATACATGTATATAAAAAAGAAGATACACGGATACACGATTATTACTATTAATAGTAATACTGATACCTAGCTATATGTTTATAATGATTTTGATTGAAATTCAGTTTTTCATGTCGAATTATCTAAATATATTTAGATTTATATTAACTTTCCATGTTGTAATATTAAATCGCAGGTAAATTACTTAGAACTATAATTTATAAATTATCTCGAAGAGTTTATACATAATTAGAAAAGTCGATTGTATAATCACTTAAATTCTTCTCTTAAATATATAATATAAATTTCCTCTTGCAATTCTATATCAGTCAGAAACATAAAATTTAGGGGAGGATAAAATTGCAAACATACGATAAATTATAATTTAGTGGTCAGAAATTGTTACCCAAAAAAGTAAAATTTGGTTACACATTTGTAAAGAAAAAAATGATACATATCGATTATCGAGCTAAGTATTTCCGTCCGGGAAAATCAAACATTCGTCTTCGGATTTAACTACTATTGTATAATTGCTTTATATACTATATCTTGCTTAACATTTAGGATAGAATTATATAAATTATATTAAATAATTATGTAAGGTTTAGGATATATGTTGTATTAATTTAAAAAAAAAATATTTTAAATATTCTTGATATATTTAGTGCAAGTACTTTTATTTGTTTATTGAATTCTAAATTTTGAAGATATCCCATAATAAGTTGTAGAAATATTTTGAATTACCACTTTTTTATTTTGTTCTGTGTTTTGTTTTTGCAATAAATATTACTATATATATAGTAGTTTTTACAACTAATTAAATTATTATCGGTACAGTTTACCGGTTTTGCACGTTGAGAGTCGGGGTTCGCTCTGGGATTGGATTTCCGGCTCTTATTCTTTGTGAACACATTTTATCAATTTGTAGGATACCGTTATAATTTTGCCTTTTTCTCATGGTTTTTTATACAATATATTAATATTCCCCGGACAGAAAGACCTATGGTCAATAACACTTTGTTTCATTTGTCTTTTTTGAAATTATATATATTTATTTTGTTCTTTTTATTTCTGTATTAAATTATTAAACTGTTGAATTATTATAATATTTAAATATTCACTTCTATTTTAAAGTTATAATGAATAGGACACTAGTTTAATTTGATAATCAAATATTCTCAAAATTGAATGTTGTTTCATTAAAATGGGTATAACAACACAAATTACGCTCTTATATAAACTTCTGATCGCGTAAAGAAAATAAATTTATTTCTTTAATAGTAGCTTTGTTTATTTTCGGGTTCATTTTATTTCATACTAATTTTAACTAAAATAGATTGATTATTTTAACTTAATATTAAATTTAATTAGTAAAATTTTTTTTAGTCAATCTAAATATAGAACATTTAATAAATTATAAAAATTTTGGTATATATTTAGTAAATATCCAGTAAATATATGGCTGAACTCCGTACATAATGAACGTAGTCTAATCGTATTATGCGTGAAGCGTTCTTCAGTTGTAGGAAAGCGTTCTTATGAAGCCTAGTAAAAAGTAATTTGTAAAAAGTAACTCACGACATGGTCCTAATCAAACTACCGAAACTATAATTGGTATGATTGCACCTTTGTGGTTTCAGTAGACACGTAAATATAAACATATTTATATTGTGTAATATAGTATTTTTGTTTGTTACCAATTAAAATTTTTACTAAATTACTATAAGTCTTAATATATAATAAATCAATTCAGTTTGTTTTTAGTATTTTTATGTTTTTACATGTTGATATTTACAATACAAAAATAGTATTAATTAATTTATATTTATCTTTTTCTTTAAATATTACATAGATTTTTACTTTAATTACAAAGGAAATAAAAAATACGATATATAAATAACAATCAAATTCTATTTCTGACATTAATTATGTTTTATAAATATAGTTTTAATAATATAAATACACATTTACTAACAACTCTATTCGCCCTTATGTAAATGCAATCATTTTGTTTATAGCCACAAAAACTATATCATAATGTTATTTTATAAAATTTTATATACATATAATTTATTATTTTTATTTTTGCCAAATTAATAGATAAATGTATTTATGCTAAAGAAATATAATCTGCATCTGTTATTTTGCATGAAGTAAAATTATTTAAAATAAAATAAATGAGTACAAAAGTAAGAATATAATGTATATATTTTTAAATAACAAATATTTTCAATTAATGATTCATTCGTTTATTTATTTTTCAAATGTATTCTTATGAATAAAAATCACTACTAATTATGTAAATATTAAAGATAGCCATTAACCTGTTTAAATAATTGATATTATTTGAAATAATTAAATGCTTTATATTGTTTTTATTTAATAATAATAACATAACTAGATATGAAATAAATTATTTTATAATGATTGCAAATCATTTTTTAATAAATACGTATTTTTTTATATTTATTTCATATGGAAATTACGAAATTTGATGTAATATTATTTAAAATATTTTTCATCATTCTTCTGTTGTTCATTTGTATATTATTATTATTAAAATATTGTATTATTGCATAATTAAATTTATGTTCTCGGGTGGAAAGATCTCGGTCGTTATCCCTTTGGCCAGCCTATTAATATATATATTTTTTTTTTTATGTTAGAATTTATTTATTTATATGTATAGAATGTACTTGTTTTTCTTATGTATTGATGTTTAGCCAATAAAATATTATTATTATTTATTATTTTAAATATTAATATTAAAAAATCTAAAGTCAATTTTTATTTAGAATTTTTTCAATAAAATCTCGTAATTAAGTTGAAATGATGTTCGCTGAAACTGGGTTAAAGAAAGTTATATAAAGTGAAAATAGAATAATTTCCTAGATAATCGTGCAATTATTTATTTAATGCGCGTTTTCGTGCCACGCAAATCAATCGGGATTATTGCGAATTTCCATGGAAGAATTATCCACCTGTTTGTTTCTTTTTCCCCGTGCACGGTTCTTTTTATTAGTGTGTCTCTAAAATAAATGGAGGTTTAATGGATCTGCAGAGAGAGAGAGAGAGAGAGAAAAGGATAATGAGAGAAAGAGATGAATTGTGAGAGATTGAGCGAGGAAGAGTTAGAGAATGATGAAGGGAGAAGGAGAAGGAGTGGGACCGGCGCGTACCATCAATATTTGCTTTCGCTGAAAGAGTTAATATACTACGTTCGAAGCCCGGTTAACGGATGATTGATATGAATATTTATAAGGTTGGCCCCGCCTCTAGGGCGGGTCCCTCGTCCGGACCGGCCCCCAGATTGTCTCACCTGGCAGTACAGTGTGTGCGCAACGAACGCACCTGTGCACACCTGGACGGTTTAAACTAGCTTAACCGCGATAATTACACATCGCTTATCTAAACCTACACACATACAAACACACGTATACGTACACACAAACACACAGAGACATCGCGCTCACACATACAACGGCGAACACAAACACACGCATTTGCACAAACAATAGAAACGCACATAGTAATTCGTATTCAGTGAAAACCTCTTTGAGCTTGTGCGCGGCTTCCGCGGCGATTTTCCCCTTCGCGCGGTTTATTTCACATTCCGTCGCTCGAAAACTATCAGCTCCATCAGTTTTCCCCTCGAGGATTTCGAAATACCTGCCGCTTGGTAACTTCGGGTGATGATAAGATTGATGACGCAGAGTGTACCTTGACTTTCTTGTGATTAATTAATCGTCGGTCTGCATACTCACCCAATTAATGGTAAATTATTATTTATTTTCTATACATATTTTTTTTAATTCTAAATCTAGTAATAGTAACGTAAGATTAATTTTCACACTCAACTTTGAACAATGTTTGTAAAATATTCCACTATTAATGTATGATTTAAACAATATATATATTAGTTAAAAATACAAATTATAATCATGTCTAGCTGGCATAAACAGATTCAAATTAATCTTCCACCGGATATTTATTTTCTATTTTTTTCTAAAACTTAAAATAGCACTTAAGTTTAGTTTATACATTTAACTTTTAATTACTATTAGAACATGCTTTAAAGTTTAATCACTATTTATTTAAAAAATGATTTATGATAAGTATTTATTTGTTAAAAATACAAAATTATGTTAAAATATAAATTAAAATTACAACTATAGTCATGTAGAGTTGGCTAAACGGATGTCTATTAGGACTAACCATTAATTAAGTAATGTTCCTCCGGATATTTTTTTTATATCTTTAAATAGAAACTTAAGATTATTTTCACTCTCAACTTTTAATAATGATTAAAATGATTGTACAATACTTTAATAAGATGTATTTAAATAATAATGTTTATTTATTAATTTAAAAATACAAAATTGTGTTAAAGTAAAAAATAAAAATACAACTTTTAGCAAACTAAAATCACAATTATTTTATTTGTTTTTCATAAATCATTTAATTAACCAAATATTTATTGTATAATGAATAAATTTAAAAATTAAGAGGTTGTTCAACGCCAAGACGTAACTAATAATTCTCCTGCTATTTATTTTTGTTTTGCCTAAATCTGTAGAATGGTCAAATAAATTTTGCTAATATCATTAAAAAATAATAGAATTGAAATCTACAAAATATGATAAAATATTCATATTTAGTAGAATAGATAATACATTTAAGTTTAATTATAATTTATTTAAATAATAATGTATTATTGGTCAAAAATATTAAAGTTGATAAATTATCAAATAGAAACAAAATAGTTTTCTAATATTTTAATAAAAGTATACTATCGTATAGAACGTTTATCTAATGAAAATCAAATATTTTTCATTACAACGTTTTGTTAATTGTACTTTTATAATAACTTATTTAAATAATATATTTATTAATATATATAAAATACGTAACTAACGTTTGTTACATTTGAAGTTCTAATTGTAAACGTTCATTTTAATAATTTATTCATTTGCACTTTCATCATTTTGCATTATAAATACTATATAACATAATTATATATAATTATTTGTATGCATTTTAATTACATTTATTTTAATTAACCATAATTAATATGTTATAATTATTTATATTTATGTTTGGAGACAGAGATCTATTGACCATAGGTCTGGTCAATAGATCTTTGCATCAGTTTTATGTTTGTTTTATTATTATTATTATTCAATGAAAAAGTTTCTTTTTATTGTTGCAATGCAGATTATTATTTATGTTTTTTTATTTATAGTTCAAAAATAAAATCAAATTATATATTTTCATTTTATAATTTATCAATAATGTTAATTTTTTTATTTTTTTTTGATGATTGGAAATATGAAACTACAGGTATCCCCCGACTTACGAACTAGTTCCATTCCAAAGGGATGTTCCTAAGTCGGGGGAATTTTAAAATTTTAAAAATTTCAAAATATTCTTATTGGCATAATCCAAAATTGGTTGCATTTCAACCATTGCAAATAGGTTTCAATATAAATTTAAATATTAGATGTATTTGCAAAAAAAATATAGATATATAAACTGGAATCATTAAATTGTTTCGATGTTGCGATATAAATATGTTATAATTATACATGAAGGATGTGTCTATTGCTGTTATATTAAATGTGTTGTTGATTATAATTAAATTGAAGACGTAATTTATTAATGAGCAACGGAAAATTGCAGAATTTTAATTATTTCTAATAGACTATGAAATTAAATTATAATTTTCATAATATAATTATTATTTATTATTACTTTAAATATTTAGTTTACATCTACATCATAACTCATTTCAAAACAATAAGCAAAGCTACAAATGTTTCGTTAAATGAATGCAAAAAAAAATCCGTTGTTCAAAAACGTTCAAGGTCCAAAATAATAATGTTCTCTGTTGTTTTAAATTAAATTAAGTAGCGAAATAATGAAATGAATATTAAAAATTTGTGAATATTTCAATGTTGTCTTGTTTACTGTTAATGATTTACCAAAATTGTTATCTTTACAGTTCAAGGTAATTGCGCGTGGTTTAGCATATTTTCTTTCTGTTCGCTTTTAAATTGCTAATTTAAAGTTGACATTATGTTTGTAGATTTTTTTTTATTTTGAACAGTCTTGTATTGCTGTATTCTTTTTACCACTTTTGAGAGATTATTCATACGCATTTTATTATAATTTCATTATTTTCGAAATATTACAAGATTAGTTGATGAGATTATCTTATATATATAATTTATATAATTATTTATTTTATATTTATTGATCCAATTTATAAAGAAAAATGATCTAATATTTTTACACATGAAATTGTTTAATTCTTTGAATTTTTTTTCAGTAGCAATTTCAATTAATAACATTCAGAAAAAAAAATTGAATAACAATATCTTAAATAAAGAATACATTAATATATTATCGTAAAAACTAGTTAATTCAATCAAAATATTAATTAAAAGTTTGCAAATTGTTCATATGTAGAAATAAGTATTATTAAAATATTAATCATTTATTTCCAATTATTGTAATTACTAATTATAAATAATTTTGAAATCGAATGTAAATATTTAATAATTGTTATTCATAAATTCAGTTATGTTTGTAAAAAACAACTGGCTTTTAATTGTGAAAAAACATGTTTAGCATTGATGTCTATTCAAATTCGATATTATTGTACGAAAACAAATGTGTTTTATCAAAGGAAATATGTCTCAAACTCACGTATGCATTTCTGCATAGCTGTGCCTTACGTAACATACCACATTTTACATACTATATTACTTAACATAATCTAAAGTGTCAGATACTTATTAAGCTCTTATTAAGCTTCACTAGAAAGCAATCCATTTAATCTTCGATACACGTGTCATTTCTCTCTAAGTGACTCACCTTTAAAACCTTTAGAAAATGTCTGGAGAGAAATATAAAGAAGTAACAACATTTGGCTGTTTGAATCAAAACTGGTTTACAAATAATTCCTATAAAATACGTATATTATATTAATATAAAATGAAAATGAAAACATATTTATAAAAAAAATCATATATCGTCTGCATTAACAAATAGTAAATTAATATGTTTTAAAGAAATAAGGTTGTGTTTTTTAAACATAAAATAGATAACAAATAAATTAGACTGAAATTTGTAAATTAGTTGCTTAAACACGCAGTTTACATAATTTATGTAATTCAATTACGCATGTTTTCCATTAACACTTGCATTATTTGTCACTATAAATTTGGAATATTCAATTTTGCTATGTTCAAGATATATTTTTTATAAATACGTATTTATTTTTGTCTACGTATTGTGTATGTAACTATAAATATTATTATTATATTTAATCAGTGGATATGATTAGATTTCCCTTATACCATTTGAAATGAATGATGCTTATTACCTGATACTTGTCAAGTACCCTGAATTTTACAGATACTAAACTTCTGGTATATATATAGTATGGACCAGGGATTGACAAATACCCTTTTTTTAAGATTTTATTTGTTAAATATGTAGCGTTTGATAGTGTAATAATATAATCACCGTCACCGCTCAGTCGGACTGATACCCGTATTTTATAATCAAAAGAGCCGTTTGCAGCTCCGGAGCCGCAGGATGCCCGAGATACAATAGTGATATTTAATAAAAGCTATTAAATAAAACTTAATGTACTTAAAATACATACAAAAGTAGAAAGATAAAATATAATTAAATAATTTTGACTTTTGTAAATTGTAATTGTCAACGTCTTTTTCGGATATACAATTCTTATAGTTCGTTCATATATAAGTTATAAAATAAATATACATCATTCAATATTATTATTTGCTATAAAATAACTTTGGAAAGTGCCTTAATTTGAAGAAGTTTTCACAATATCATTTGGAAGCTTGTGTTAAATATTGATACAAAATATATAGATAAATGCTTCAAATTTGGTCTTATCTAATTATTATAAACATGCATATCGACATATTCATATATTGTTTATTGATTTAAATGATAATGAAATTAATTATATGATAAAAATGAAATCGTGCCTGTTAATGAAAATATTTGATTAAGATATTTGGAAGTGTCCTTGAAATTAAATATCTTACTTGTCTTATCTCTGTTAGTATTTAATATTGTTTGTTTATTTATCAGAAGACTTACTTTATTTACTATTCAATTTGTAATCTAGTTCCAAGCTAGTATAGTTATTTGGTGTAATTGTTAAAGTTTAATAATTATTGAATCTTATATAATTAATATTAATATTTATTGAAACAGTTAATACAACATATTTATAAAATCATTATTAAAGAAATCATAATTAAATGTTACAAATAGGTCTTTTATCACAGGAATATTATTGTATATATGTCTTAAAAGTAACATTATTTAAAGATTATTTTCCAATGTATATTATTTCTAATTATAAAGGGTGGTCCAGAAGTCAATCGCATTTGAACGGTCAATTTTTTAACTATCTTGAATAGTTGAAGATATAAACTGATTTTTCTATTTTTCTATATTTCTATCTTTCTTTTGATAAACTTGATTATGTCATTGTGCGAAATATAAATAATTTTACGCAAACACGTTTTAAGTAGATAAGTCGATTTCAAGAACACATAAGTTGCCTACTCTTGTTATGTAACAGGAGTGGTCAAACTTTTTGCAGCAAGAGCCATAGTTACCTACCAGAAAATACTGGGACACCTAGTTTTTGGTATAAAAATGTAAAATATCCGAATCATAATGTATAATAACAATATAACGTATAACAACAAAACTCTTGCAGA